TGTAGCTATTTACATTGTTCGGTCTGTTGTCCTCATCTTTATTGTCACATTCATGACTCATAGCTGGAATTTCGAATCTAACCTTTTATTTATTGAACTAATGAGTAACGATTCACTTGATACAAAAATCTGATTAAGGAGAAATTGACAGAGCTTAAATACAGCTTCAGAAATGTACCACGTTTAACCAGCAGGGGTGCCAAGCTTCCTGCTGCTGATTTAGATACAATTAGCTTCTATGTAGATTTAAATCTAATAAAATTTATTCAAATGAAGTAGCTTATTAAATTGGTCCTTGGAATCAGCCATTTTGAGAAATATTTAAAACAGCAGTTATAATGCTGTGTGTAATTTTTTTTTCTTAAGAGTATGATAACAAATATCACAGCATGTTAAATATCCTCTGTCCTTTGGGTTTTATATCAATATTTTAATCCTTTTCATTTTAAATGAGGCCTGATTGAGTTATAGGTCTCATTTGACCACAAACCTACCAAACTCCATCTGCAACATACTTGTTGACAATACAAATATAATAGCCTCATCCACATGTAAAAGGAAAAGAAAAGGTCAATGCTTAATAATATCAACTATGAACATTGCCACAATGTGCTGACAGTGTTTGGAAAATAAAACACTCTTATAACTCTAGATCCATACATAAAACAATCCATACATTCAGTTTAAAAAAAAAAAAAAAAAAAATAATAATATCCTTGATAATGGCTAAGAATATAGTCGAAAATGCTTGGACATACAGAACATTTGAACAATTTCTACATTATGTCCAGAAAGGGGAAAAAAATTATAAGAACAAAATAAAAATAAAAAAAAAACTTAACCATGTCAATCTTTTTTAACAAAACTTGTTTAAAAGAGGGATCGCTGCCCAAATACACAAAATATATGTAAAAACGCATGTGCACACACACACAGCTCCCTTTTAAGTGTATACATACACAAACACTGTATTTTAAGCATTTATTTTACATTCTCCCAGTTAGAGGTCAAAAAGTTTCTACCAATCAAAGTCTGAAATAAGCCAGATGTTTTATCTAAAATAACATGCAAGATCTTGTACATGTTGAAATTAAATTTGAACTATGATTACTTTAATAAATTCTTTAAATTAATAATAAGAAGAGTAGCAAAATGTGCAGAGGCTTTGGGAAATATTTTTATGCAGGTAATTTAAATATTTCACCTTAGTTTTAGGTGTCAGGTTTTTTATAAAAGAATAATGAAGAATGGCTGTACGATAAATTTTCCTATTGATGTGTAGAATATGGACAGAAATCTATGCATATAATATAGTTAATTCATTTGTGAGCAAATAAATTTTGAAAACTAACAGGACTCTCACAAAAAATGGTAGCATAGACTAAATTACAAAATTTGCAAAAAAATAATTGTAATTTAATTGTAGACCCCTCAAAAAGTTTAAACAATTTACTCAAGCTTGCTATGTAGGTTATGTATTGTTTTCCTTTTACCTTCAATCTGTATTGTGATTATCAAATTTTCAAAGCCCTCTTTCATCCTTATGTGCCCTAGTATGCCAAAATAGTTAAAACCAATTTCAACCATATTGTTATTAGACATGTTTTCCCTGTTGAACTGGAGTCTAATGAATTTCAGTCTGGGAACATAATTAATGGTCATGGTTATATTGCTGTGTTATATCATTATTTTTTCTTCTTGTCCAGTTGTATAAGTGTTGAACACAGATTGAACCTAACAGCATCTATTTCATCAATATCCAGCTCTCCTTAAAAAAGCAAATTAACCTTTAGCATGTTGCATTATTAATATTACTTATTTTCCCACTGCATTCTTTTTCAAGACTTTTCAATTGCAGTAACTTTGTTAATTTCACTCAAAGGTGTTTTCTGTTGCCATAGCAGGATAAGACAGCACAACTATGAAATTCAAACAAATTCAAATTCATGGATCAGTTACCTTTGGGGGCAGGCTAAACTTTTTACACAGAAAATAAGTGTGTAAAGGATAAATATTAAACAATCATAGATTTCTTTTCTCTATCTCTCCCCTTTTTGCTTTCTCATGCTCTCAATGAGTTTTTAAACTTGAAAGAAATATTTAAAACTAAGCAAAACAAAATATGAATCTTTCTCTGTAGGGTAAGTTGGGAAAAGCCTTTGTTATATCTAAATATGTTATCTTGTAACATTGGGCATACATATATGTATTTCTCTTTTCCCCTCTATCTCAGCTGCATGTCCATAAGGGTGCCCCCCCCCAAAAAAAATGAAATATTTTCTGACAAGAATGTTCAGATTCTGTGCTCATTAAAATTGATGTAAGTTTAAAACATTTCTCTTACAATTCTGTTTCTGACAGTGAATGATGAGCAAAAGTTTTATTTGCAATGCTATGAAATCATATTTCAGGAATTTATAAGTTCAATGGTTAAGGGCTAAGTTGATGATGGGTACTGTGGAATGTTAGTGACTGCTTTTTTTTCTCCTCCTTTTTTTTTCTTCTCCTTTTTTTTTTTCTTTTTTATCTTTTTTCTTTTTTTTTCTTTTTCTCTTTTTTCCTCTCTTTTCTTCTTTTTTTCCTTTTTTATCTTTTTCTTTTTTTTTTTTCTTTTTCCTCTTTTTTTCTTTTTCTCTTTTTTTCTCTTTTTTTCTTTTTTTTCTTTTTTCTCTTTTTTTTTTTTTTTTCTCTTTTTTTTTCTTTTTTTTCTTTTTTCTCTTTTTTCTTTTTCTCTTTTTCTTTTTTTCTTTTTCTTTTTTTTTTTTTTTCTTTTTTTCTTTTTTCTTTTTCTTTTTTTTTTCTTTTCTCTTTTTCTTTTTCTTTTTTTTTCTTTTTTCTTTTTTTTTTTTTTTTTTTTTTTTTTTTTTTTTTCTCTTTTTTTCTTTTTTTTTTTTTTTTTTTTCTTTTTTTTTTTTCTTTTTTCTTTTTTTTTTTTTTTTTTTTTTTCTCTTTTCTTTTTTTTTTTTTTTTTTTTGTCTAGCCCTTTTTTTCCTATACACACTCTGCTGGTTCAACCTACCAATCAATTTTTTGAATTGCTTCTGCTTTTTTTAATTTTTGCTTTAATATCAATATAGTGTTGTTTTTCTGTCATTGTTGCTTTTTCTTGCAAGCTAATAAGTTTCCCTGTCACTATCCTATTCTATAAAGAATGTATGTGGAATTTTGATTTTTCTCACTCAAATCTGGTGCAGAAGCTCATCCCTGGCTGCAACTATCAGTTTAAAGAATTTTAAGCAAATACCAACTTAAATATAATCACACTTATACAGGAAAAGATTTAAAAGAAAAATAACCAGGTCCCAAATAAATTGCTCTTCTAACTTCTAATATTTTATATATAATATATATATATATATATATATATATATATATATATATATATATATATTAAAGTTCACTCATTATAGGGCTCTAGAGACACTCAAGGTATAGGGTTATTGTTAAAATGGTGAAATGAATGTTATGAGGTAGTAGGAAGTGGATATTATGAAGATAAGGAGGATAGAGACACCAAACATATGGTTTCCATGTCTAAGTCAAGTATTCTCATTTGATATTTTAAATGGAATGCTAAATTCTTTAAGGAGTGGATAAACCTTTCTCTTTTGCCTTCCTCGAGGGATTTAAATCAGTTATTAATAGCAGATTCTTCATAAATCCCTTTAAATGAAAGCTGTACCATTAATCTTTGAGAATGCTAATCTAAAATGTCATATTTTCAAATTTCATGACTAATTTTTCCTTATTAAATTTTAAAGTGTGCCCAGAGTTTTAAATATTCTACAAGTACACTCTGAAGTAAAAAAAAAAATAAAAAAATAAGTTTTAAAAATGCTGGTCTAAAGGAATAATAATATACAATAAAACTAATAAAGAAAATATTGTTACCAAAAAAAGTTTTTGATTTATGAGAAGAGAAAATATACTGGGACTCAAGTAGCATTGTCCTGCCTCTCCCTCAACCAATTTTTCTAAAAGCATGGAATGTGGCTTATTATTTGTGCTTATACTATTTGAATTATTATGGCTAGTGTGTAACCAAGTGGCTTCTGTTGTGTGGTATTGTGGTTGTATTTTTGTTGTATTGTTTACTGGTTGATGTCCTATAATTTCTTCACCGTTTTGTGCAAAATGTCTCATGTATTTTGTTGCCAAAATATAATCAGTTTATTTCCTTAGAAAAGGCTGGTAGTTTTGCAGCTGTTTTTGACAATTTCCCAGCATATCTATTTGATAGTTTTTTTTTTTTTTTTTTAATTATCAGAACAAAAAATTCCTTTAACATTATTAGAGGGGCTCATTTTCCGTGAAAAAGGAAAGACGGACAGAAAAACAATATGGCCTATTTGAAATGGAAATTTTCTTATTTCTATTAAATTTGCCAACTGCCATTTTCATTTGTTACTCTTTTTGCCTTTCCTAACTCACTCATCTGACAGATACCAAAGGGTAAAATTGGTAATGTTTTAATACATCCCCCCCCCCTACTATCTCCCTACAGTTTACAATATTTAGGAACCAAGTTTTATGAAGTTGGTTTGATTTTTAAAAAGGACGAGGGAGACAAAAATTGTCTTTTTGTTTTATTCTTTCCTTTTTCCTATCATACGTGGTGACGGCAGTGAGGGTTCAGTTTGTCAATTTAGAAATTCCAATTTTACAAATTGGACTTTTTTTTTTTTTTAATTCAACAATTTTATTTTCTTGTTTTAATAACAATTATATATTGTTATAATACTTTCTCACTAAGTATTATAATGAAGCAAAAATGGAATTCAGGAAAATTTTTAAACGGAAAATTTGTCCCTCTACATTATTCTATCAGTAAAGCCTTAAACAAATGCTGTCCATAATTAGATATTTATATAAGGTTTCAAGAGATTTAATCAGTTCATAACATTTTTTACTATAAGTAAACATTACTTGTCATAATGTTTGGCTCAGATGACCAAGTATTTCAATGCCAACTTTGTAGTGTTGCTTTGTGCTGTTTTCAGTTAAATTCCAAATCAAATGCAACAGTATCTACGAAAAGCAGGAGACAAGTGCAGCCAAAAATGCGATCTCAGAAATCTGCCAACATCAAGAGTCATTTGTTGGGAACTCAGGATTCAGATACCTCATCTGAGCACCAGGTAAGTGACTCTGAGGCAGTCACAATTCTCCAATGCTTAATCTGGTCAATGAAGAAGGGGAAAAAAAAAAACAAAAAAAAAAAAACTCTTGTAAAATTGACAATACACTTTAAACCTTTAGCACTCTGCATTATCCATGAGTACAAGTTTTCATTTTCATTGTATACAGTAGTACAGTAGTAGCCTAGTTCTCAGGGTCGTATTAATTGTTGCCATAGCAGGATATGACATCACAACAGAAAGTTCTCTAAAAAAAAAAAAAAAAAAACACAATCTATAATTTGATAATCAGTCAGTTGCAGCAGAAATCACCTACAGAGTGCTAAAGGTTTTAAATAATTATCTTAAAGGTGAATCTTTTATGAGATCAGGTGTTAGGATCAAAATAGCTTAATGTGACTTTTGGACATGAATATGTATGCTTTTTGTAATGATGGTGAAAAGGAATGTTTTTTATGTGAATTTTTTAAATATACAGAAAATAGACAACACGATCACAATACCAAACAGCCACCTTTTTATATATCATTTCTAGATTATGAATTGCAGGGATTAATTAATCTTGGATATGTATTGCTGAATCTGCATGTTTCTTTAAAGATTTCTGGTGGATGCTGGTTCAGTTGGTTATAATTAAGATTACTCCCTTACAACTGGGCACTTGGTCTGAAAAATTATTTTACTGATTTTCTACTATTTGGTATGTTGGAGTTTTTGTCAAAGTTTTTCAAATATTCTGTTGCCTTGGAAACTGTTCATGGCTTTGCATGACCCCTTTTTCTTTTCTTTTTTTTTTTTTTTTAAAATTTGGGTTTTGTAGAAAGTTTTGGTGTTTTTTTTTCTTTTTTCAGTTTATCTCCTAATTTTTTCTTTTAAAAAATTTTTCAAATCTTGAAACTTCTTTCTTTTTTTTTCTTTTTTAACTTTTTCTTTCTTTTTTTTTAAGGTTTTTAACTTCTTTTTTTCTTTCTTTTTTTAACTTCTTCTTTCTTCTTTTCTTTTTTTCTTTTTCTTTCTTTCTTTTTTTCTTTTTTTTTTTTTAAGGTTTTAAAAACTTCTTTCTTTCTTTCTTTTTTAACTTTCTTTCTTTCTTTTTAACTTTTTTTCTTTCTTTTTTAACTTCTTTCTTTCTTTTTTAACTTCTTTCTTTCTTTCTTTTTTAAAAAAAACTTTTCTTTTTTTTTTTTTTTTTAACCTTTCTTTTTTTTTCTTTCTTTTTTAACCTTTCTTTTTTTCTTTCTTTTAACCTTTCTTTTTTTTCTTTTCTTTTTTAACCTTTCTTTCTTTTTCTTTTTTTTAAAACCTTTCTTTCTTTCTTTCTTCTTTTTTAACCTTTCTTTTTCTTTCTTTTTTTAACCTTTCTTTCTTTTCTTTTTTTTTTTCTTTCTTTTTTAACCTTTCTTTCTTTTTTTTAAAACTTTTCTTTCTTTCTTTTTTTAACCTTTCTTTCTTTCTTTTTTTAACCTTTCTTTCTTTTTCTTTTTTTTTTTTTTTCTTTTCTTTTCTTTCTTTTTTTAACCTTTCTTTCTTTCTTTTTTTTTAACCTTTCTTTCTTTCTTTCTTTTTTAACCTTTCTTTCTTTCTTTCTTTTTTAACCTTTCTTTCTTTCTTTCTTTTTTAACCTTTCTTTCTTTCTTTCTTTTTTAACCTTTCTTTCTTTCTTTCTTTTTTAACCTTTCTTTCTTTCTTTCTTTTTTAACCTTTCTTTCTTTCTTTCTTTTTTAACCTTTCTTTCTTTCTTTCTTTTTTAACCTTTCTTTCTTTCTTTCTTTTTTAACCTTTCTTTCTTTCTTTCTTTTTTAACCTTTCTTTCTTTCTTTTTTAACCTTTCTTTCTTTCTTTCTTTTTAACCTTTCTTTCTTTCTTTTTTTTAACCTTTCTTTTCTTTTTTTTTAACTTTCTTTTTAACCTTTCTTTTTCTTTTTTTTAACCTTTCTTTCTTTCTTTCTTTTTAACCTTTCTTTCTTTCTTTCTTTTTAACCTTTCTTTTCTTTTTTTCTTTTTTAACCTTTTCTTTTCTTTCTTTTTTTTTTTTCTTTCTTTCTTTTTTTTTAACCTTTCTTTCTTTCTTTCTTTTTTTTAACTTCTTTCTTTCTTTTTAACCTTTTCTTTCTTTCTTTTTTTTCTTTTTCTTTTTTTTAACCTTTTCTTTCTTTCTTTTTTAACCTTTCTTTCTTTCTTTTTTAACCTTTCTTTCTTTCTTTTTTAACCTTTCTTTCTTTCTTTTTTAACCTTTCTTTCTTTCTTTTTTAACCTTTCTTTCTTTCTTTTTTAACCTTTCTTTCTTTCTTTTTTTCTTTTCTTTCTTTTTTTTTCTTTTCTTTCTTTCTTTTTTTTTAACTTTTTTTTTCTTTCTTTTTTAACTTTTGTTTCTTTTTTTCTTTTTTAACTTTCTTTTCTTTTTAACTTTTGTTTTTTCTTTTTCTTTTTAACTTTGTTTCTTTCTTTTCTTAACTTTTTGTTCTTTCTTTTTTAACTTTTGTTTTTCTTTTTTCTTTCTTTTTTAACTTTTGTTTTCTTTCTTTTTTAACTTTTGTTTCTTTCTTTCTTTTTTAACTTTTGTTTCTTTCTTTCTTTTTTAACTTTTGTTTCTTTCTTTCTTTTTTAACTTTTGTTTTTTTCTTTCTTTTTTAACTTTTTCTTTCTTTCTTTCTTTTTTAACTTTTCTTTCTTTCTTTCTTTTTTTCTTTCTTTCTTTTCTTTTTTTTTTTTTTTTTCTTTCTTTTTTTTTTTAACTTTTCTTTCTTTCTTTCTTTTTTAACTTTTCTTTCTTTCTTTCTTTTTTAACTTTTCTTTCTTTCTTTCTTTTTTAACTTTTCTTTCTTTCTTTCTTTTTTAACTTTTCTTTCTTTCTTTCTTTTTTAACTTTTCTTTCTTTCTTTTTTAACTTTTCTTTCTTTCTTTCTTTTTTAACTTTTCTTTCTTTCTTTTTAACTTTTTTCTTTCTTTTCTTTTTTCTTTTTCTTTCTTTTTTCTTTTCTTTCTTTCTTTTTCTTCTTTTCTTTCTTTTTTCTTTTTTTTTCTTTCTTTTTTTTTTCTTTCTTTCTTTCTTTTTTAACTTCTTTCTTTCTTTCTTTCTTTTTTAACTTCTTTCTTTCTTTCTTTCTTTTTTAACTTTTCTTTCTTTTTTAACTTTCTTTCTTTCTTTCTTTTTTAACTTCTTTCTTTCTTTCTTTCTTTTTTAACTTCTTTCTTTCTTTCTTTTTTTTTCTTTCTTTCTTTTTTTTTCTTTTTTTAACTTTCTTTTTAACTTCTTTCTTTCTTTCTTTCTTTTTTAACTTCTTTCTTTGTTTACATTGGTACATTTATTCATTTATTTGTGCAGCCACAAGCATTATTCTTGTCACTGTTCCTTTATTCTATAAACCTGGATGAAATTGGGATTTCTCTCTTTCTCTCTTTCTCTCTGCTAAACCAAAGCTGGGGTAGTTGCTTGTTAACTTTCACTGTTACTAGACATCAATAATTTGTGTACATGCTTTAGTTAATCTTCACAGAACAGAATTATACTTATTTATTAATATCACTTGATCAAATTAAAAAAAAAACTACTTAAAGACTTTCGTTTTTGTGAATTTAGTCATGAAAATTTTGCTTACAGACAGACAATGGCATTAGTGATAACCAAACCAAAGAAGAGGAAGAAGAAAGGAACGTACGGCAGCAACGGAGAGGGAGGGCTGTTCCAAAGGAGGAGACTTTGGAGGTGGCATTAGATAAGGAGGAAGCGGAGAATGACAGGGGGGAAGAGGAAGAAGAGGAGGAGGAGGATGAGGAGGAGGAGGAAGAAGAAGATGATGATGAAGACGATGATGATGACAATGATGAATATGAACTTGAAATCTTCAAGTTGTCTTCCAGTTGGCCAGTCAAGCGGGAGAATGTGTGTCAAGTGTGTGAAAAACCTGGAGACCTCACTGATTGTGAAGGTCCATGTCAGGGATCCTATCATCTACACTGTCTTGGAATGACATCCTCACCACCAACGTCTTCTTTTAAATGTGATCAATGCACTACAGGTAAGTGGCAATTTGAAAATATTATCATCATTCAGAGATTTTACTAATGTCTTGGACAGTATTTTTAATTTTCTATTTTCATTAATAATGAGGTAAATATTCGGAATTTTCAAATTAAATTTGACACATAATTGACCAAACATTGTTCATTTAAGTATAATTTGAAGCAGTTTTGGAATTTTATAAGGTATCAGACACATTTTATTTGAGTTTGCATGAATTTTTGTTTGCTTTATTTTCAACTTAGCTTTATTGAACATTATATTTAATATTTTGGTCTATGGAATGATGACTTTGCTTGAAGAAAAAAAAAAGAAGGCTGGCAACTTCAAGCAAAATCAAAATTCCATCGTCCCAGAAATTTATCTTTCTCAGTGAAAATACTGCTTGATTCAAGTTTTGCAATCTTCCAGGGATTTGAATTTTTTTCTTTCCCTCTTGAATTCTAGACACTACTTAAGTAGACTGGTTCACTCATAAAAAAAAAAAAATAGGGAAATTTTATTTTTTTTATTAGCATTCTTTAGTTCTTCCTTAAGCCATGACACTTGTCAGAAGCAAAAAAAAAAATTATCATTTTATAAGAGTTGTCCTGTTCATAATATTGTTAGTGTAAAATCAATCCCTGACTTTTTAAAAAGTTATTGGGTTTTAGTTTGTTTACAAATGTCAAGTTTTAAGCTATATTTGCAACATTGGTATCCATGTATATAACATTTTTTTCTCTTTATTTTACAAAAAGATTTCTTTTCAATAAAGAACAAATGGATATATATATATTCATGCTTTATTTTAAAGAAATATTATAAACAAGCATTTGTTTGATGGAATAGCTTCTTTTTTTTCCATTAAAGAAAAAGTAGTAACACATTCTTATTTAAAGACCAAATTTTACGTAAACAAACAAAAGTATAAAAGATATGCACATATCAATGATAAAAATATTTTCAAGGCACAACATTTGTAAATGAAAAAAACTTAGTGCAGATAACTCTGTAAAAGTCAGGGATTGATTTGACACTATCAATATTATGAACAGGAAGCCCCTTCTAAATAAAAAAAAATCAATATTTCTCGATTCTGATAAGTGCTGCAGCTTGAGAAAGGTCTAAAGCAGTGTTTTGCAACTATTGCCACCTTGTAGGCTCTGTTATGTTGAAAGGGAGTACATAGTTTTTATTTTGGATGGAGATGGGGGGTATTTATTTTTTTTTTTTTTTTTTTTTTTAAATAAATTTTCAAAAATTATTGAATGTTGGCTACAAAAGAAAATTTCTGAAAGATATCTAAAGCTGTAGAAAACTATCAAACTTTTCTTTGGTTTTCCAACACACTGGCTGAATGTTTTTGAGTGTCATCTTCCTATGTAAGATGAATTCAATATGATATTTGAAATTTAATTTGGTGAGGGTGGGGGTACAAAAAGTTTGTGCCTAAAGGTGGCATTGGTTGAAAAAAAAAGTACTGGGAAATACTGGTCTAAAGACTGCTAATCTAGAAAATTATTCTACAGAAATTTTTTTTTTTTTTTTTTTTTTTTTTAAATGAGTGTACCAAACAATTTAAGTAGTTTCGAATTCAATAAGTAAATAGTAATTGAAAAGCCAAATATCTTGTAAATAAAGCAGATGGATGAGTTAAAATTCTTCAGCTCAACAGTAATTTTTGTTTTGCTACCAAAAAAGCATTTACTCAGTATTATCCTGATGAAATGTTACACATTTTCTTTATTACTAAATATAATAGCTTTTTTGTTTGAATCAATCTATTGGGCTATAACTCTGTTCTCCTTTGTTGTCTGCTTCTGGGGTCTCTCTTCATCAGGCTGCCTTCCCAACTTACATTTTGTTTCTTTTAAGTTTTTGATCTGAAGAAGTCTTTAATGAAGCTGGTTGAAACATCCTTAGAAGAACAAAGGGAATGCATTACTTCAGAAGTGATTTTCAGAACAAACAACCATCTCTTGTTTGAAGGAACATAGTTTATTTATTGGGTTAATCAGTTTAAGCCTTCCCAATTCTGTGATGCCTTGATCTACCTAACTTTTGGTTAGTAGATGTCAGTTTTATTCCCAACATATTGTAGCAGCAATGCCCAGGACTGATGACTGGTAGTTGGTTCAACAAATTTATGAGGGTACTTTGGTTTTGTGTCTGCATAATTGGTCTCTAAAACCCTGTCTTCAACTCCATCCATCTACAAATAAATACTTTTAAGCTGTAGAAAATATTCTTTGCTTGACCAGGTCTTTTTGACAGTATCTTGTAAGTTAGTGGTGAAGTAGAAAGCAAAGAGGGGCTGTGATTGTTACTACCTAAAGGCCCCAAATCAGTCAGCTTATATTTATATATCCAGCCTGGACTTAATTTCTTATCAGAAATCCTCAATTTATCCTTTTTCAAGTATTTTCAAATTTGGCTTGTTCAAGGCTCACTCCAAGTTATTTTGCATGTATTAATTGAAAAACCTTTGGTTTATACTGGCTATGGCTGCATTATAAACTAGATTTCCTTAAAGTAATATTATGTGGTGAAATTTTCTCCAGAATTCATTTTTTTATTCACCTACACAATATCGAACCTCATTTTCATGAATAAAAAAAATAATGATTGACAAACTGCAATCCATCTCTGTCCTGTTTTTATTTATCTAGTTTCCATCTGGGTTCTGTCTCCTCGTTACTTTATTTCTCCTGTGGTTCACCAAGAAAATTTGTCACATCCTTAAGATAATTCTGTTTTATTTCTCATCTTGGATAAACATCCAGACACCTGGTTTCCTTCTTGACAACATCTAAGACTCAAATCTCACATTTAGTTTAAAATATCAAATTCCACTTTAAGTTAAACAAAAAAAAAAAAAAAACAAATTCCTGGATACTTCTGGTATACAGGTTTATTCAAAGAGAAAGAGCAGAATTTGAAAATTGAATAAAAACAAATGCTGAGAGAGAGAGAGAAACACATTATTGGATAGGAAAAAGTTCAAAGTTTATTATTTTAAGGTTATACTTCACAAATTGCAGTACACAAAACGACTTTTCTTGTGTGGCCAGTTGACACAAATTATAATTTAAATTTACACAAAATCTAAAAAAAAAACAACAACAAAAGGAAGCATTTAAACAAGATTGAAAAAGATTTTAATTTATTTTAATAACTTTGAACCATTTCGTATGCAGTAATGTGTTGAATGTTTTTCTGTCTCTTAGCATTTGTTTTTATTAAATTTTCAAAGTCTGCTCTTTCTCTTTGAATAACCCTATACTAGTAAAGTCCAAATTACTTAGCTTTACTATCTAGGCTTTTCACATTGACTTATCAAGTTAACCCCATTTCAACTGGCCATCACTAATTCTGTTATGTGTGTCTTTGAAGGATCAAATAGTAGAAGGCTATTTTATAATCCTGCAGCATGATATCTGGACCTACGTTGTTAGTTCATTTTATTTTTTCCAATCTCTTACATTTTCACATTGTTTTAAAATATCCACTTTTCATCAGTTCTCTCAATTTATCTAAACAAAAAACAGTCAAGTGAACTTTTTTCAGTTATGTGAAAGTTACACATCAAAGTGACTAACATAGCCAAATTGATGCAAAATGTTTTTGAGTATGTTGGTGTTCTCTTATATCATATACCTAACTTGTAAGTTAATGTGGGAAATCTTGATTTGATCTCTCTCTCTCTCACTCACTCACTCACTCTCACACACACACACACACACACACACAATTGGGCTTTGAGAAAACTAAAAATTTATATTTTGATTATTCACAGTACCTTATTCATAAATTACACAGTTGTATTTTTACCTTTCTTAAAATAAAATGACTAATATATTAAAAATATATTTTCTTCCATCTTCAGTTCATAAACAAAGATAAATAATTTTTTCAAAACTAAGCTCTCTCTTTTAATGACATTTTACAATAAAAAAAAACTTTTTGTCCAACCCAATAATTAAAAAAGAATCAATCTTTCTTTTCTTATGGATAATGTACTTTTTATCAGTGTTAACAGTTTGTGGGTCTTTTTTTTTTTTTCTATCCATTCACCTCAAGCAAAGTGATAATACCACTAAGGCACAAGGGGTTACTGAGTGTGAAAGAAAAACAAACATTAAGGAGCAAGAACAATAAAAGAATCACACACAGACAATAGATAATGATTTACACTGCATTTAAATTTTGGAAGATCAAAGTTGGGAAAGCAAGAAGCTTGACAAGAGTTCCATGGGCAAGAAGTGAGAAAGAAGAAAATGTTAACAAAGAACTTAACAATTACATCTGTTGATGGCATGATTTGTTTGATGGTCTTAAAAATATTTTATCATTGCAGGTTTGCATTCATGTTTCTGCTGCAAACAAACTGGTAATGTGAAAAAGTGTTCTGTGGTCCACTGTGGCAAATTCTATCATGACACGTGTGTTAGGAAACACCCACTAACACGGGCAGAGAGCAAATCCTTTATTTGTCCTCTCCATCTCTGTGTCACTTGTTCAGCAGATACAAGCAGTTCAAAAAACCCTAAAGCCGCTAAAGGTAATCATTTCAATTGTAATATTATCTAATCAATTTTGGCTTTTCAGGTGTTAAAAATATTATCTAATCAATTTTGGCTTTTCAGGTGTTAAAAATAAACACGAGAAATTGTATTCGTAATTTAACATAATTTATTGTTATGGGTCTTTTTTTGCCAAAAACATTCAACCTGGAAATGTACAAAAATGACATGAATACAGGAATTTGTTAAGGGCATTTACTTATCTGAAGTTTCAGAGTTTAATTTATGGCTAAGTCAATGAAAGTCATATACTATGGTTCAATGGGAAAAGTAAAAGTGTCATAAGGAAATATATTAAATTTAATATTATTATTTCATTAATTAAAAAAAAAAATATTTATTATCATTTCACCCCAAGCAAGGCAATAAAGCCACTAGGACACAAGGACTTACTGAGTGTTAGAGAATATTAGAAAAACTACTATTAAGGAGAGAAGACAATAAAAGTACAAGAATTAAGAAGACAGAAGATAACGATTGACATTGCATTTAAATTTTTGAAGACAAAAGCTTACTAGGAAGGAAGAAGCAAGAAGTATGAGAGAAGAAACTGTTAGCATAGAACTTACTGGCACATTTAGCCATTTCAGCTATAAAATGAGACCTGGCTGCCAATCTAGTACTGTACTTAAATTTGTAAATTCTAGGCACCAAAGAGGAAAGCTCATCATAATTACCATGAAAATATTTATAGGAAAGGCAGAGTGATGCTGTGTTATGCAGTGGGAAAGTGACAGAAACCAAGATGCCAAATCAGGACCAGTAACATTGCAGATTCTTCTTTGGATTTTATCAAGAATCTCTAAATACATAGCAGGATCACCAAACCAGATATGACAGCAACATTCAAAGCAAGGACAAATGGTAGACTTATATTTACCATCATATTGTTATTCTGCTTGTTCTTTTGTTAATATGTACAATACATCATAAATAATGAACTGTGCCATTTTGATTGCAAGAAAAAATGGAAAAGACATTTCAGAGATGCTGTTTGGTTTCAGTGACGAAAAGATAGTGGAGGAAATAATGCTCTCATATATTTAATGTCTACTGCAGCGAAATGGAAAAAGTTGTCAATTTTAAATCTTTTCATTTGTACCCTCTTACAACTTTAATATTTATGGTTGTTATTGCAATAATTGGCTAAAGTTGTTCAGATCAAATATTTACTGATTCGATAGGGGAATTTTCATAGGTATTTTGTAGTTGTAGAACTCGCAATGAGTTTATTTATTCATGAAATATTATGATACGTCCAGAAATTAAAATAGCAAAACTGTTAAATTTTCGTGGGTATTTCTAATTATTATTTCTTTATTATAAAAACGCTTAGGGCCATATCACATAACATGATCACCGAAGTTAATCAACATCAAATCTGGCCAGTAACTAGAATAACAGGTGTTGTAAGCTTGGATGTGCGGGAGGATAATGGCTTGGAATTGAAAATTGGAGAGCCAAATTCTGATTACATTCAGGTTCATTTACCTGCAAATACCCTTGGGAAAGTATGAATCCCCTTTTCTCCCTACAGCTATGGGTTAATTAGTAGGACTTGCATCAGTAAATCATTATTATCCCCCCCCCCCCATAAAATAAAAAAAAGAAATTCTTACAACCTAAAAATATTTTCTGGCTTTAACCTGCAAAAAGTTGATAAAACAAGTCAATCAATCAAAATTTATTATAAAGATGGTAAAATTGATGTAAAATATTTTGACATGAAAACAATCTCCTCCCATGGGTAGAATTAGTTTAAAAAAAAAAAGAAAGAAAGAAAAAGTTAACAAATGTAACTGGTTTTTAAAGATGTTCTGTAGCAGTGGTTCTCAATCTATTTTGCATGGCGCCCCATTTTCCCACCCATAAATCAGGATGTCATTCCTCACCTTCCTAAGATTGTCTGACTCAATAGGTGCATTCCAAATAATATGCTGATATTATTGAAACCCTTCATTCTTTTCCTTCTTAGTACATATACATTTACACAGATTATTTTTGTAGTGGTGGTGGGGGGGGGAAGCTTGCAGAAAGAAAACCCGGTATGACCTCTTAGTTGTGCCCCTTGGGCAGTTTGTGAGTTAACATTTTGAGTCTAACAACCTGTGGTCTAAACCCACCCCAGGAATTCTACAACTGGTTGAGAATGCCTATCCTAGAGAGTACAGTATACAAAACATTACTGATAACAACCAGGTTGAGAAAAACACAAAACATGACATTCATATTCTGACACAAGTTTGTCTTTACTGTCAGCTTTGAGGAATGGATCCAGATTAAATATAAGCAATTTATGCAATGCGTAAAAAGAATGTCTTTTTTTTTTTTTTTTTTTTTTTTTCCTAAAATTAAATCTTAAATGAAAGATGAAAATAAAATTTTGATTCTTGGCAACTGTCACAGTTTGATCATTTCATAGTATAAAAACCAAAACAATATATTTATAACAGATACAAATGCCTGCTCTATGTATACGGAGATTGATTTTTCTTTTTTCTTCTTTTTCTCTCATCAGGTCGTTTATGTCGTTGCTTACGCTGCCCCACAGCCTACCATGTCGGAGACTTCTGTATTGGTGCCGGTAGTGTTAACATGGCTGGAAACAATATTATTTGCAGCAATCACTTTGTGCCACCTAAGAACAAAAAGGCTGCAACACATATTAATGTTAGCTGGTGTTTCATTTGTAATTTAGGTACGATGACTTATATAATCTTTTTTAATTTTTATTTTTAACTGCCATCTTTAAATATTATGAAAAAGCATAATGGTTGTTTTCAGTAGCATTTTTGATAATGGTTTCATTGTTTGATTTCAGGTGGTACCTTATTGTGTTGTGATAGCTGTCCAGCCGCGTTCCATGCTGATTGCATCAATATAAGCTGTCCAGAAGGCACTTGGTATTGTCAAGATTGTGCCCGTGGGAAAAAACCACTGTATGGTGATATAGTTTGGGTGAAAGTTGGTAATTATAGGTGAGTAAATTCATCTGCAGGTGAAAACTTCATACATGCAACTTTTTTCTCTTTTTCTTTTTACATGTGGCAGTAAAAGAACATTTATTTTTCAACATAATCTCTCTCTATTATTATTAATTTTTACATGCATCTTAATTCTTTTGCTGCTTTTTACCACAATTTTACTTGCTGTTAGGCACAGCACAGATTGTAGGCTAACCACCTGAATAAAGTTGGAAGTAAAAGCAACTAAAAAAAAATCTGATAAAAGAAAATACCAGTCAAAAATAATGGTTGACAAAGATAAGATTTCTATACAGTGTATGAAATAGCATTTGATAGAAATACAAGTCTGGTTTTTTATGAAGTATTAGTCACTGACCGGGGGGGGCACTCTCTTCCAGAGAGAATAGGGTTTCATGCCATTTGGCAAAGAACAAAACAACTCTCATAGTAGAATCAGACCCCTTATTAGAAGTTTAGAATGTTTTGATTTTTAAATTAAGGAAAATATTCAGGAAACTTGACAAAAAGGATTTGCCTGGTTGTATTCCACAAGAGAAGATGGCAACTCTAATAGAATTTAATTCCTTAATTCCTAATGATAAAGATGCTTATGGTCATATCTGAATTCTAATTTACTAAAATAATATTAAATTGTTTAGGATGTTGAATAAAAAGCCTTTGTTTGAAAAAAAAAATTTTTTTTTTTTTTTTTTCCCCCCTTTCACTGGGGAATTTTTAACAATAATTCTTCTTGGGGTGGGGGACAAATATATAGCTTTCCATAAGAAGTGATAGTATATAAATATGAAGTGATATACGAGGGTGGGATGAAAAGTTCATAGGCTATGAACGAATGATGCTAGAGCTTTGAAATCTTGCCTGCATTCATTTCAACTCTTCTTAGTAATAACAGCATCCAAGATCAGATTTAGAATTTTTTTTTTTTTTTTTTTATAAAAAAGGTTGTCATTTGGTCAGATTTTTAGAATTGAGTCAGGCTGAGAACTTTTCAGCACCTGTGTGTATGAGTGAGATATATATATATATATAAAAACACACACACAAGAGGTAAGATGAGAACGAATAGGGTACAATTCCAATGTTTGTAACATTTAATTTAAAAGAGGGCTCAATAAAAAGTAGAGCAATATTCTTTATTTTAGGATATTACATAAAAAGCATCTGTCTATATTTCTGAGATGAGGTATTATGTACATTATTCAGACTATTGTCCTCATCTTTGTCGCCATATTTATTATGTTTTGGCCGTTGTACACTCTGGCCTTCTTCAGGTGGTTGGAATGTCGAACTTAACCCTTTATTTCACTCACTGGGGTAGACTGTTCTAGCTCCACGTGCCATGTTTTAATGGATGTCAGTTTATCAGTTATCTTTTGTTAATTTCCCTCTGAAAATTCTCCACTGCCTTAACTGGGTATTAGAATTCACACTCTTTGGGTCCTGTCACTGAATCTAACCAATGTCTTTATCCACTGTGCCATATGTCCTTGAGGACATCTGTGTATGAATTTCTGGGTATTATAAACCTAATGTCTTCAGCAACCATTTTTACCAGTGCCCATATTGCAACTTTTTGCTGTTATGATATGAGCTCTAGTAAAAACATAGAATAATAACAGATTTCTATACAGTGTATGGAATAGCATTTACAAGTCTGGATAGTTTGTATATTGTGCATGAGAGAATAATTTAATATACGTAGGGGAGACTAATATGTTCAGATGTGAAAAAGGCAGCAAATTGTGTGAGTATTGGGAATGGGAAAATGAAGAGAGGCGACAAACCAGTTTTAAAAATTGTTGCCAGTTTTTTTTTTTTTTTTTTCTGATCAGCATGTCTGTTGGCAGTGGGATGGTGAGGCATTTGTTGAGGGGAATGGCAAAGTAGAAATGTAATCTGTCTGTGAGAATTAGATATGTTCCCTGCAAGTGCTTGTCCCTAGTGATAATCATTCCCTTGCTGAAAGTGTCACCTACATTTTTATTTCCAAGTATGTGACACTAGAGTGCAGGTTCGCATAGAAATACAGATTGGGTATGAAAGTTGTCTATATTGTTTCTCCAATTTTTGTAGATCTCTTGTATTCATAAATATGTTTTGCTTTTTTTTTTGTGTGTGTGTGTGTGTGTGTGTGTGTGTGCACGAATATCAGTGTGTCATTGTGTCACACTTTTTCAACTTTACTCCTAGAAGCCATAGCCCAACATATACCATTTTGGAATCAGGCCAACTCCATGAGCAAATTAAAAAAAAAAACATTCTGGACTGGCAATCCTGAGATTTTGGATTCTCAAGTTTTTTTACTGCGATTGTTTTCAGCAATTTTTTTTTTCTTTTACATCATTTTTTGTGACAAATTTTTCTGTACAATAACAATTTTTATAACTTGGAAATATATTTGGGAATAATCAAAATTAACTGAAAAATCCAGCCAAAGTCACCCATGAAATAAAAATAAATGTTTGTATGGAAAGTTAGAGCCTATATACATCAAACTGTCAACCTAGGTAGGTAGTACCTGGCTCATGATTTATTTATTTTACTTTTCCTCTATTTAGCGTATTGAGCACTCTTCGTTTTAACTTATTACTCGCTGGGTGTTTTTTCATTGTACCAGAGTTTTACAACACTATATGATTTCTTTTGCCCTGTTTGGAGGTTTCTGGTGCTTTCTTTTTTTTTCCTCGAATACCAGTTTGTTTGGAAATTGTGCTATCCAGGTTTTTTCATTCACCAAGTTTAAATAGATTTACATTATTTATTTATATATATATATATATATATATATATATATATATATATATATATATATATATATAGGCCAATACTCCCAAGCTGTGAACCTATTGATAGGTCAAATTTATGTCTATTAAAAATACACATTGGATGTGAAATAATCATTGCTTTCTAATGAGACAACATATTCTTATAATTTTGTCTGTTGGTAGTGGGAGGTTGATCTTTGACCTTTTTTTTTTTTTTTTTTTTATGTCTTTGTAGAAATCTTATGCATACAATGGCATGTATATTTGTATATTGGGATTTAATATCTAAGGTAACCATCCAAGATAAACAGTGTGTCCCACAAATTAGCAAAATCACTCCTCCTGTGAAAAATCAACTCAACACATATTAAAAAAGTTTCAGCAATCTTATCTGTAGACAAAAACCTTTGTATATGAAAAATAAAAACTAGATGTAATTAATATGATTGGGGGCAGTTTTAATTGTAAAGCCTTTCAGTTTATAAGCAATTATTTGAGTAGACAGCTTTCTAGGTAAAGATACACATCTAGCATTCTGGTCAGTACAGTAACTAGATAGGTGACCACTTGGGAATACCAGGTGCTGTAAGCTTGGATACGCGGGTGATGTAATGAATAATGGATTGGAGAGCCAAGTTCCAATTCCCATTGGGTTTATTGTATTCACTTACATGCAAATACCTTTGCGTAAATGTACAAATCCATCTCTTCTCTTATAATTAGTAACACTTGTATCACTAAACCATTATTACCTACACAAAAAAATTCTGACAATATAAAAATATTTTCTGGTTTTAAATGACTTGCAATGGGTTGATAAGCTGTAAAAAAAAAAAAAAAAAAACCCCAAAAAAGTTGTTCTGATTATGTTCATATTGAACAAGACATTGGCAATAGAATAAAAAATTTAAACACATGATTGGGAGGATTTTGTTTGCTGTGCATGACTGAGAATTTTACATAGATCCCTTAACTTGAGTAGACATATTTATTGGCCCCTGAAAAACATTTTAACATGAATTCTCTTTCTCTCTCTCTTCCCCCCCACCCCTTTGTGGTGTAATGTGGACTTCAATGGAGAAGTTGTCTCCACCAATAATCCAAATCTGGAATTTTTGTTGCAGGAAAATCTAACTACAGAATTTGAATTTAAAAACTTAAAAATATTAAACAAATTTTTTTTTTTTTTTTTTTTTTTTTTTTTTAGGTAATTATTCACATTTAATTTAATTATCATTTCTAATGCAGTTTATAAGTCTTTCTTCAAACTGAATAGGTAAAATAATTACATATGTTATTGCTTAGTTCAAGAAACAGAAAACAAAAAGTTTTAAATCAATAAATATTTTAAATGCCATTCATTTAGATTAAATATTTCTCTTGAGACCTTACAAAATTTTTCACAGAAGATAAAATAATCATATTTTCTTACAATAACTTTTAAACAAAAATTAGAAGTTGTATTATACAGAAGTTCAAATTTTCAGAAATTTCTACTCAGCTTTAAAAAAAAAAACCTCTTTGAAACAGCAAGATTGCAAATACAGTCAGCTCAATAGATAATAAAAGAAAAAATAGGCAGGTGTTGGTAACAATTACAAAAGGTATTTGATATATCCACAATATTTGTTTCCCTCTTCCTTAATAAAAAACAATATTTTTTTTTCATACTTTATTAATATATAGAAATATACTTAAACCATATCAGACAAAAAAGTATGATAAATTAACACCTTAAAATGTGTTACCGGGTATGTCGTCTTAGCACCTTTCCATGAAAATTTGAAAATAATTTCTGAAACAAATTAAAAGAAGCATGTACAGACTAAACATCCAATTTCTTTCTATTCTATAATATAACAAATGAAATATTTTAGTAAAATATATGTACACCATTCATATTTTAATGGATAATAGGTTTTACTATATAAAAAAAACAAAACAAAAATTTACATAAGGATGGCTGTACTCTAAGGTCATTTTATACTCAAGGATGTAATTTATTCCCTGTTTTTAGCTTCAGAAACACTGGGTCATATTTTACTCAAGCATGTAATTTTTTTCCCTGTTTTTAACTTCAGAAACACGTGTCCGTATTCTACTCAAAATGTTTTTTCCCATTTTTTTAGCTTCAAAAACACGGTCATATTCTACTCAAGTTGTATTATACACAAAAAAATATGATAATTACTAAATCCCTTTTCTTTAGTTAGTATTTGTCTGTTGTAACAATTATCACTTAGTGTAAGACTAAATCGTCTTTTATTATTAATGTCTGGAACAGAAAAGTATTTTATGCCATTTGCATAGACAATTTTCCTCAGCTGCAAGCGAAGTCTTAACTTCTTACCTGTCATAGATGGGTTCTTCAGTTTGTTATTCATTTTATAGAGACAAAGTTTTTAGAAGGGTGATATGTGTTTCACTTGATTAACTACTTAGCAACTTTATTAACTTACTTTCAGAGATGATGTAGTCATCTTGTAAATCTAGATTATAAAAGATCAACTGATTGTCAAATAGTTGTTTGCTTGTGGCTTTACCTGCACATATCAAATGTCTATGTCTGTTGTGTGAGTGACATGTGTGCTTGTGCCAATTAATGTGTACAGAAGCACACACACACACACACACAATTTGACTGAATTTGAAATAAGACATTCCCCTTCCTACTCAGCCTGGACACAACCATGTAGTCATTAAAATCATAAAGTTAGAGACTAGAATGAAAAAAAAAAAAAAATTCAGATAATTACAAGATTTTATTGAACTTTTCAGGATTTATTCAGCAATAAATAGAATTCATTCTAAAGCTTTTTAAAAAAAATTCTGTAGAAATATATTTAGGTCTTGATATATAGATGTACATACACATAATTTGAATGAGATTGAAATGAGCATTCTGTGTCAATAGATCTAATTTCCCTTTTTGTCCAAAATTTAACTAAAACCAAATTATATCTACATCCTTATATAATAACACCTTATAAAATAAATACAAACATACAAAATAAACACAAAATGAAAGTGAATCTTAAAACTACCCGATTCACTGCAAAATGACCATTGGAGTTGGTGTACCTGTAAAATAACGCATCTAAATCCCTTTCAGTCTAGTTGCAGCGCCTTTGAAGTCATTTTTATGACTCTTTCTGTATTTAAGGTGAATATATTTTCTAATAAATGTCATATTTTAAATAGACAAACAATTTAGATATGAAATTTGATCATCTTGCCACCAGCAAAATGTACCATAGTAATTTAAATAGATGCTATATGGTGCCTCATATGGTCAGCTGCTCCAGCTATGTATTTAGAGATTCTTGATAAAATACAAATTAGTTCCAATCTGTCATCTTGGCTTCATTCCCATTACTGTAATGTGTCTACCCTCTGCCTTTTCCATAAATATTTTCATGGTAAATGTTCTGATGAGCTATCCTCTTTGGTACTTAGACTATATGAATTTAAGCAGAGTACTAGATTGGTAGCTAGGTCTCTCATCATTTTACTTGAGATGACTAAATGTAACCATAAATTTCATGCTGACAGTTTCTTTTCTTGCTTCTAGAACTTTCTTCAGCTTCTTTCTTTCCATTCAGCTTTTTAACTTTAAAAAATTTAAATGCATTATCAATCATTATTTTTTGTCTTAATTCCTATTCTTCTATTGTTCTCTCCCTGTTTTTCTCACTTTCTCTTTCACACTCAGTAACCCCTCGCATCTTTGTGGCTTTATTGCCTTGTTTGGGGTGAAATGATTTTTAAAAAAATAAATAATCAGCAACTTTTTTTTTTCTTTATATACATGGCCTAACCCTTTCTGGCAGAAGGCATTAAATTGATATGTGGGGCTGTCTTCGTTATTATATAGATTTATCTTTCACAATAACAATTACTGTTTCATATAAAAATCTTTTTTATATATATTTTAATACTTTGAAATAGCAATCAATGTCAAGGAAGAACATAGAATAAAACATTTTTAAATTATCAGTCATGTTAGAATTTAATTTTTGATATCTCTCTCTTTCTCTCTTTAGATGGTGGCCAGGAGAAATTTGTCATCCCAAAAATGTCCCCATGAACATTCAACAAAAACCTCATCAAATTGGTGAATTTCCAGTCAGGTTCTTTGGGTCTCATGACTATTACTGGACAAATCAAGCTAGGTAAGTTTTTATATTAAACAAAAGTGATGGAAACAGAAAGAAAAAGAATCTAAATAAAATTGGTTGGATCATATACACAAACAAAACACTTTTTCTCTTTGTTTTTTTAATATTTTAAATTTAAAATTCCCAGTATCTCTCGATTGCATGCACATAAACTTAGTCCAATTAAGTCCTAAAGGATGAAATGCATCCCACAGAAACTCTTTACACTTTGTCGTACTTACTTTTTCCTTTTAAAATTGTTCTTGATCATATAAAAAAAATTTATATATATATATATATATATATATATATATATATATATATATATATATATATATAGTCGACTCTCCCGTCGATATTCGACGTATGAGGGTCAAGCAAATCAGTTTCCAGGAAACCAACAGCCCGGCACTGGCACATGAGATTTGATTATAGTGGTGAAAACTTTGTGCAGGACCATCCATACTTTTTGAAGGGCTGAATACAGAGACCTGATGCACTAAGTGCCACAAGGTTCCCAAACGACCCTCTGCAGGTTTTGAATTCAGAGTTGTCCTTCTCCTAGACCAGTTGCCATCCAAGGCTATAGAACCCAGTCTGTCCTGCTATTTTACCCATAGCTGGAGGGAGAGAGGATTCATACCTTTCCCAAGGGTATTAGCACGTAAGTGAATGTAATGGATTCGACTGGAATTCAAACTCAGCTCTGCGATTCCTCAATCCAAGCCGATATCCATTACTCCACCGTGCTATATATATATATATATATATATATATATATATATATATATATAGATTATAGACAGATTTTTATTACTTAAACGTTACTTTCAGTGAATATTTCTATTTGTCAGATTAAGAAATAACAAAAATCCATTCCTATCTTTACAAATTGCTCTGTTTACATTAGGATATGAAACAGGAGATATGTCTATTGCGAGTCTCAAAGAAAAATCTGTTTAAAGGCACTATTCAACTTTGCTTGGTCATCAATGCATTCTTTAGCTGAGAGGTCAAAACACATTCAGACCTAATTATGGTTTATCTAGGGGAATGCAAGTTCAAATCCTGCCAGAGAACATATATTTTTCTCTAATAAGATTTCTTGAATATTCAGGCTGGTAGCCAGAAATATTTTCACTAATGTGAAAAATGTAAATGAATAAGGAGAGGAAAAAAAACTAAATGCAATAAGATCAGCTGTATGCCCAGACACATTTAAAAAAAAAAAAAAAAAAAAAATGTTTTTTTCAAATTTCAGCATCCCCTCTCCTTTATGCACATATGTAATCACATCAACATAAAGATCATTTAATCCGCTGAAGTTTCACGGGATGAAATTCGACATATTTTTTTTTTTTTTTTTTTTTTTTTTCCACTTTGTCATAGATTTTCCTGTGTTTGTGTGTGTGTGTGTATGTTTCATTAAAAATGACAGACAAGGTACTACGATTAAGCTTCTTATTTAATTTTTCTTGTGCTCAGACGAGCGTTTCCTTTTTGGGACTCAGAGTGTGTAGAAACTGTCCAAATGTTCTGCAATCAATGACAGTTTATACACACTGTGTCCAAAAAAGAAAACACTTGTTCAGACACAAGAAAAATTAAGTAAAAGCTTAATCATTGTACCTTGTCTATCGTTTTTAATGAAACTTGCATCAGTGAAGGATTGCTGCCTAAAACTATAATCAAATAGATAAATATAGGTAAATGTACTTATATATATATAGATATATATATATATATATATATAATAATGTAAGGCAAAACCGTGCTCAATCCTCAGGTGCAATTTTTTTTACACACCTAAAGATTGCAGGTAGCATGAAACAAGTTGTGCAGTCGATGTAGGGTATTACACACACACACACACATATATATATATATATATATATATTTGTTACTTTATTATTCAGAACTAGAATATTCTTTGTATTAAAAACAAACTTGCATATAATGATTTGCATTCAAACTAATGTCCTCATCTTTATTTTTATAATCACATTTTGTATCATTGTACCCAGTGACCATCAGGTAATTTCTTTATTTACTCAAAGGGAGTAAATTGTTCTCATTCCAATGTCCATGTCTAGGGATATCTCTTCTTAGAATTGTTCAGTTATTGCTTGCCTTGTTTCCTCCGAATCTGTAAATTGCGATGCCACCAAATTCATGAACCAAAACTTTAATTGTCTGAATCGTTTGCAAAACTTGCAAATACATGGAAATTTCTGCTGATATTTACATATTGATGTAAAATATAACAAATATGTTGAAAATGTTTCTGATATTTTCATTTTTATGTAAAAAAAAAATAATTAAATTCTGTTGAAATGTAACTCATTTACATTTTTATGGAAAAGTGTAGAAATTCTGCAAAATGTTCCTGATAAATTCCACATTCAGAAAGCCAAAACGTGATAACAACAATAAAGATGTGGATATTAGTTTGATTGTAAATAATGATTAATTCCTCATACCAGAAAGCAGAAATGTTGTGATAATGATAACAAAGATGAGGACATTAATTTGACTGAAATGATAATTCCTCATCTCAAGAGTTCAGATAAATATTGGATACAATGCTTGATTCTGTCAAAAAATGAAGACGTCATATTTTTATATTTAAACAAATCCGGAAGTTTCTTTAAAGAAAAATTTCATATTTACTAAACTGTGAAAATTAAATCATTTGCACTTTTTTGTAGGGTGTTTTTATTCCAAGAAGGAGATAAAGGGAGCAAAGATTCTTCTGCTACAAAAGGTCTGGCAAAAATCTTTCAGGCTGGTTAGTATCAGAGTTTTTATACACTTTCCGTTGTGATAATTTTCTAGATTTATTTATTAAAATAAAGAAAAACATGAAAATTGGGATAGTTAATATTTTCAAACCAATTGATAAGATAGATAAATTTTGCTACTTTTTATTTACATCTAATTGGTGCAATCTGTTTTTACAAAATCAATACTCTGTAAGTTTGTATAACTTGGACTTGATGTAAATGCTGACATAGCACATTTATAAATTTCCAATACTTGTCCATATCATCATTTGACTTCTCTCGGCCCAAAACCAGGTGGAATTATCACATAAAATTGCAATCAGATTATGTAAGAACCAAATTTTACTTGATATTAATTCAGTATACATATGGCATCTGTATATTTACCACTCAACGAGATAATAATGTTTAATTTAAAATACATAGAAGTTGATAAATTAGATCTGTTTCAGATCTTATAACAGATCAGTTCTGTAGGGTCTCAGGTAGCCAAGATTAACAATCCTGCAATCCAACTAACTACAACTTCAATAAACTAAAAATATAACCTAAAGGTAGAATACCTACCATAAGTCCCAACAAAGACAAGTTTTGAGAAATTTCTTTGAAATATTAAAACTTTAATTTTTGATGTATGGGTAAACAATTTATGAAAAATAAATTAAAATTTGTTTGCAGTAAAATCTATAGAAAAGTAAAATAGAATCTGTGCTAGTTTAAGAGGGGGAAAAAATAACAAAAGGCGCCAGTCATGCGTGTTTTTCAGATATTGTGTAATTATTGTAACTGCAATTTTTAGTCTACACCCAATAGGAGCTTCTTACTATTATTATTACTATTTGATCTTTTCAAGCAAGGATCTGTGCTTATTTTAGTGTTTATTTCAATCTGCAGGAATTGCAGAAGCGACAGAAGCATTTAAATTGTGGAAGACAGCAAAAGAAAATCGGGATCAGCTGGAAAATGAGAAAATTGGAAAGAAGCCAGCACCATTTAAATTTGTTAAAGTAAGTTATGTGAAAGAAAGAGCCATTGGTTAATAGAAATTGTTATTTGTTTTTTGTTTGTTTGTCCGACTCTTATAACTTGTAAGCTACTATTATAACTTAAGATTTACATGAGAACAGAATTACTCATTGACAGAAAAATAAGTCAATTCTTTGCCTTGTTTTAAGGTAATTATCTAAAATGTTTTTCCTTCTAGATTTATAAAATTTTAAAGAATATCAGTATTAGCAATAAAATCATTGGATTATATATTACAAAAAGTATTTAAACTAGAAAACTAATATAAGCAGTGTTATTTCATGACTATTTCTTAGAGAAATGATAAACCCTGATTTGAAATATTTTAGATAAAATCCTTAATATTTCAGTAATTGCTTGTTATATTATGCTATCCTTATTTGAAAAAAAAATACACAAATTGTGTGGCAGGACTTTATCTATTGTTCCTTGTTCTTTCTAATTTTCTCACCTACACAATATAGTTTATATGAACTTTAAAAAAATCAACAGTTTAAAATGAAAATCACATTCATTCATTTTGCTTTGTTGTAGAAATTTTCTAGTTTCTAAGAATAAATTCCTCTGATATATATTTGTATTTAGTTTTTGTAAAATGTCTATCAGAATGTTTCTGAAGAAATGCCTGAATAAATGGAATCAAACTTTTTGCAGACCAATGTTCCGGTTGGAAATGTACTGATACATAAAGCCGACTTGTCTGAAATTCCTCGCTGTGAATGCCGGCCGGATATGGAGAACCCATGCGGTTCAGACTCTGAGTGTCTCAACCGGATGCTCATGTATGAATGCCATGCACAGGTGTGTCCTGCAAAAGAACACTGCCAAAACCAACGCTTCACCAAGAGACTCTATCCAGATTCTGTACCTGCCAAGACGGCCACTCGCGGATGGGGATTAATGACCAATGTAGATATTAAGAAGGTCAGTTCATTTGCTCGGCTTTTTCAGAATATAGTCAGACTCAGGAATCAGGTTCATCGTATTGCTTCGTTAATCTTTTGTTTGAAAACTTTTGATGTACAGGTAGTATATTGGTTACATGGATGGAATCTGAGAAGTTTTAAGGAAAATGGGGACAAAAAGGACCCTTGTACTTAGAATCAGAAAGAGAGTTGAAATTTCTGGGACACGTAATAAGGAAAGAGAGCTTGGAGAAATTGACACTCATGGGGACATTTTGAATGTAAGAGGGGCAGAGAGAACGATCGCATAATCTACCTTATATGGATGACAGACCAGTGACTGGGTAGAGCTAATAAGGAGACAAAGAAGCTGCAAAGGACTGGAGAGCCATGATTACTCACTTCCTCAAAGGACATGGTACATAGAAGTTAATTTGTGCTAATGCCCATAGGGAAAGTAAATAGCAAGATAAACTGGGCTCTTGAGCTTTGGGTGTTAGCTAGTTTAGAAGAAAGACCATTCTGAATAAAAAAAAAAAAAAAAAAAAAATTATTTCACTATATTTTCTGAGAAATCTTGGAAGTTTATATTTTTAAGGGAAGGAAGTTGTGGAGAACCATTATGTCTTGAGGTGCTAGGAAGAAAATGATTGATTCATTTTCTACAGCTTATCAACCCTTTGCAGGTTATTTAAAGCCAGAAAATAATTTTGTTTTTTTGTGTGTGTGTTTTTTTTTTATATAGTAATGATTTAGTGATATATGACTCTTAATCTTGCCAGTTCATTACATACAAACACACACACACACACACACACATATATATATATATATATATATATATATATAAAAGTGAACATAAAGTCAACTTAGAGGCGACAGTCTGTTTCATGCTATATGCAATCGTCATGAAACAGACTGTATGTTGTATGTTCACTTTTTATATTTATATTAACTCTATCTCTGATATTGAGCACTTTATCCCATAAATATAGCACACCTTAAGACTATATTTCTTTTTATATATATATATATATATATATATATATATATATATATATATAGTTATCAAAAAGTAGAAGAAGGCTTAAAAAAGGGAATAAGAAACAATGTTTTCCAAACAAAATAATAATAATGGTTCTTGTAGCTTTGATTACAGTATCTGTTCCTCAATTTGGTTTAAAGCCTCAGTTTTGTTTTCCTCTGAGTTTAGAAAGTGGCTTTTTTATAAACTGCTATATTACAGATCTAACTACAGGGTGGTCCAAAAGTCTTGTCACCCCTACCCTCGTAACCCTAACTCCTGTTAGCCATCTGAAAATTATATTATGTAAGAGGTGTCAAGTCTTTCAGACCACCCTGTAGTTTAAAAATGAAGGGAAGAATTCCAATGGACCATTGACAAACTAATGATGACTGCAATTTCAAAAAAATGCCTGACCGTTGGAGTTTCCAAACTGATTAACACCAGAAAAGTACAATTTTTGGCTCCTGATAATTCGTCCTCTAACATAAAATAACTGGCGTACTTAATGATAATTAACAATAAGGAAACAGTCGTACTTTAATTATTATTGTTTAATTATATGAATTTGTGAGTTAAAAACAAAGCAAAAAAAAAGAGCCTAAACTTAATGTCCTAATTTTGGAAATAATAGTATTTTTAATTTTTACTTATTTTTATTATTTTGTCAAAAGCTTGATTTAGATTTTTAGTTTTCAGTCAGTACTTTAGAAACTTGACACATTTTATGACTGTCAATACAAATATTTTTCTAAGATATGAATAAGAAAAGAATCACTTGATATGATTCTGTTTTTGACTTTGTATTTTGTGTAATCAATATTTATTTACAGTAATCAAATGATATTCTTGTCATGACTCATTCTTATAATGTGTGTAAAACTAAAGTTTTCTCAAAAATGTTTTATATACAATTAATGATATGAAGAAGTCAGAAAAAAAAATTTTTTTTTTCTTTTAAAAAAAAAAACCCTTTTGCGTAAATATTGGCTTTCAATGTTCAGCCCACCATAACTCGCCCCAATGTATTATACTCTGCCGTAATATGACAACATCATCCCAAATAACATAGGAAGTCACGCAAATGGTGAGACCTTGATCACAAATCAGCTCTCAATGTTCAACCTAGCATAACCCACTCATGTATACTCTTCTGTGATATATGATGACATCACCACCAATAATGTACGGGGGGGGGGCGTTCTAAGCATGTTGAATGCTAAAAAAAAAAAAAAAAAGACTTAAAGCAAATGCAGAATCTGGATTTTTTTTTTTTTTTTTGTTACCATTGTTTCAAAATTGACTGAAATACAAGAAATATAGTTATTTCTGCAACTCTCATAGAAAGAGAAAATAAAGGCCTTGACATGAAAGCAAACTTTTTTGTTCATTATTGTGTAATTATGGATTCCATTTTATCAGAAACCAGTGATTATCAATTTGCTCAATCTGGCAAAACACTTAAAGAAATATCCTGGGTAAGACAATAAACTACATCCGTGTCCTGGGCAAGATGATAAACTGCATCCAACAGCAAGGTCCCTGATCAGGTTTTTAATTGCTGGTGTTCCCAGATCCACCCTGACCCAGGGTGGTAGCACCTGTTAGGGTCCCAGCTATGGGTAAATAGTTAACCCCAAACTGGTGTCAAAACACTATGAAAGTGTAAAAATAGGTTTTAATACCAGAAATACTTTGTAAAAAATTAATACCAGCAATACATTTTTGAAAAAATAAAATATTACCAGCAATAAAAATTTTGTCGGCATTAAATAATCCATTGTGGTTGATATGCCGTAAAACAAAAGAAACAGACTAAAAGAAATTGGGACTGATTGTTCTTTTTTTTCTTTGTCTCCTTTCAGGGTCAATTTGTAAATGAATATGTTGGGGATTTAATTGACGAAGAAGAATGTAAGAAAAGAATATTAAAAGCTCATGAAGATAATGTTTCCAACTTTTATATGTTAACATTGGACAAAAATCGGTAAGAGTTTTTTTCTCTGTCTCTGGTAATAAAAATAAAATGCCATAAAATCTCAATATGTCGTCTTTTTAAATTTCATTTTTTTAAACCTGACATGTTATTTGCAATAAATGCATATTAACTCTCTGCCTTATACAGCAAGAACCAATGTTATACAACATCTGAAAGCTTTAATTTTATTTCCATTTTCTGTTATTTTCTAATATTTGTGGATTTAATGGCATTGGATGTCTGAAAATGTGTTTTGTTTTTTATTAATGAAGGATTATAGATGCTGGCCCCAAAGGAAATCTGTCACGATTCATGAACCACAGCTGCCAACCTAACTGTGAAACTCAAAAATGGATGGTCAATGGTGATGTACGGGTTGGTCTATTTTCCCTGCATGATATACCAGCAGGTAACACTTTCTTAGGCTTTTTCTTTTTTTTTATCTTCTTTTTCTTTGAAAGATTAAAATATTAGAAAATTACATTAAATTTCATAATGTTTTTTTTTCTTCTTCATTCAAAGATTAAAATATTAGAAAATTACATTAAATTTCATAATGTTTTTTTTCTTCTTCATTCAAAGATTAAAATATTAGAAAATTACATTAGATTTCATAATGTTTTTTTTCTTCTTCATTCAAAGATTAAAATATTAGAAAATTACATTAAATTTCATAATGTTTTTTTTTTCTTCTTCATTGAAAGATTAAAATATTAGAAAATTACATTAAATTTCATAATGTTTTTTTTCTTCATTCAAAGATTAAAATATTAGAAAATTACATTAAATTTCATAATGTTTCATAATTTTTTTATTTTTATTTTTTTGTTAGTGTTTGATTTTTGGGAATTATTTATGAATCCAATTATCCTCTTTTGAAGGATTTGATGTGTGTGTCTCACTTTATTTAACAAAGGAGATAATGTGTGAAAGTTAATTTTAAAATAGAATTACAGCCATTTTCCCTTCACAATGCTACTAATATAGACATCACACAGCTACATCTTAAAAGACGACCATGGAAAAAAAAAAGAAATTTACAAACCTCTTGAAAATGCCTAAAGAAGTGACTGAAAGTGCTTGAGACAAACACTACAGACAATTTTTTATACACCTTACTCTGACCAAACAGAAAAAAAGTTAATACTAGAAAAACTCAATAAAAAAATTAATCAAATTTTCCTCCCTGTCATATTCAACGGAACATGTTTGGAAGAAAGATTACTGCCCAAATATACATTATATATTCTTTATTAATTTAAGAAGTTCTTAAAATTAAAAGCTCTTCTTTTCTCAAATACTAATTTACAGTATTATTAAAAAATATATTTGGTCTCAATTTAAATATCAGTAAAGAAACCTAGTGTAAATTAAAGTGATTCTGACTTGAATTGTATGACCCATATAAATGTCAATATGCATCTCTCTCTCTTTCTCTCTCTCTCTTTTTTGAACCAGCCATGTTTTGAAATTTTGTATTATATGAAATATTGAGAGTTTGTTGTTTTGGTGTGAAATTCTTGACACCAAAACAATTTTTTTGCAAGGATTATAAGATACAAATTCTATTGATTTCTATGTTACATAATTAAATCAAATATGTACTTACCAAAAAAAATTAAATTAGACAGACCTTCTGAAGGGTTAATAACTTCTGTTGGATAATGTTAATAAATCCTCTAAAATGTTTTCTCTCTCTCTCCCTCTCCTTTTTTTTGGGGGGGGGGTATTTGTCTATTATTTTATAAATAGGATAATTGTTTTCTTTTTCAGGTTCTGAGTTAACTTTTAATTACAACTTAGATTGTTTGGGTAATGAAAAGAAAATCTGTGCTTGTGGAGCCCCAAATTGTAGCGGTTTCCTTGGTGTCCGTCCTAAGGTAAGTCTTTTTTACCCAGCCAATCTTGATCTTTTGTTTTGCCATAGATGATGATACTGGTGACTTTTAATCAGTCCCCTTCCCACATAGCATGTAACAAACATTATCTTTTAAAATTTAGTCACTCCCTTCAAATAGTCACATTCTTTTGGGAATAAGAAGATGCATGGTATATTTTTTTTAAAAGTTGTTAATGAAAACTTAAAAAAATATATGGCAAAATTTAAATAACTACAAGGGGTTGGTTAGAAAATAATTCTGTAGAAATCTTTTTGCTCTTTTTTTTTTTTTATCATTTCATTCCAAGCAAAGTGATAATATCACTAAGATGCAAAGGGTTACTGGGTATGAAAGAACGAGATGACTTTAGTAAAGAGAAAGAATAATAAAAGAACAGGATTCAGGAAGACAGCAATTAATATTTAATTTAAATTTTTGAAGATTGTAGGTGACAGGAAATAAAGAAACTGGAAGAGAGTTCCAAAATTAAGTCCAAGAAAATAAACTATTAGAATAAAACTTGTGGTTTCATCTAGCTATTTCAACAGTAAAACAATGAGACGTATCAGCCAATCTAGTAGCATGCTTAAATTCATGGGATTGAGGTACCAATTGATTATCTAGTTGATTATTTATTGTCTATCACTTCCTTGTTCAATGAACTGTTCCAGCAAAAGTCAGGGGATATGGCTAGCTGGACAATATATAAAGAAACCTAGAGACTCTGTGTCTTAGATGATTCTAAGATATTTACAAGAAAATTACTCACAGAAAGAGTAACCTTACTAAATTTTTTTTTTTTTTTTTTTAAATTAATTTTTTTTTTTTTTCTTCAATTTCTGTTTGTCTTGTTTATACAATTTTTTTTTTTTATCATTTCACTTCCAAGCATGTTTGATATCACCATGTTGCTATTCTTGTGAAAAGTGCCTAAATATTTTGTTACACAATGGTTTATGTGATTATTTTTCCTCCTCCCTAAATTTTTGAGCTTTTAAATAAGGTAAATATAGATGTAAAAGTATGGAGATGACTGATTTTAAGTATGGTTCACTAAGTGAATTTATCCCTTATTCTAAATTTTTGAGCTTTTAAATAAGGTAAATATAGATGTAAAAGTATGGAGATGACTGATTTTAAGTATGGTTCACTAAGTGAATTTATCCCTTATTCTAAATTTTTTTAAGTAAATATAGATTTAAAAATAATGACTGATTTTAAATATAGATGTTAAAAAATAGATGTATGGGATGATGATTTTAAGTATGGTTCACTAAGTGAATTTATATCCCTTTATTCTAAATTTTTGATTAGATGTAAAAGTATGGTTCATGGTTCACTAAGTGAATTTATCCCTTATTCTAAATTTTTGAGCTTTTAAATAAGGTAAATATAGATGTAAAAAGAGATTTATTTTAAGTATGGTTCACTAAGTGAATTTATCCCTTATTCTAAATTTTGAGCTTTTAAATAAGGTAAATATAGATGTAAAAGTATGGAGATGACTGATTTTAAGTATGGTTCACTAAGTGAATTTATCCCTTATTCTAAATTTTTGAGCTTTTAAATAAGGTAAATATAGATGTAAAAGTATGGAGATGACTGATTTTAAGTATGGTTCACTAAGTGAATTTATCCCTTATTCTAAATTTTTGAGCTTTTAAATAAGGTAAATATAGATGTAAAAATGAGTATGGAGATGACTGATTTTAAGCTTTTAAATGGTTAAAAGTATGGAGATGACTGATTTTAAGTATGGTTCACTGAATTTATCCCTTATTCTAAATTTTGAGCTTTTAAATAAGGTAAATATAGATGTAAAAGTATGGAGATGACTGATTTTAAGTATGGTTCACTAAGTGAATTTATCCCTTATTCTAAATTTTTGAGCTTTTAAATAAGGTAAATATAGATGTAAAAGTATGGAGATGACTGATTTTAAGTATGGTTCACTAAGTGAATTTATCCCTTATTCTAAATTTTTGAGCTTTTAAATAAGGTAAATATAGATGTAAAAGTATGGAGATGACTGATTTTAAGTATGGTTCACTAAGTGAATTTATCCCTTATTCTAAATTTTTGAGCTTTTAAATAAGGTAAATATAGATGTAAAAGTATGGAGATGACTGATTTTAAGTATGGTTCACTAAGTGAATTTATCCCTTATTCTAAATTTTTTGAGCTTTTAAATAAGGTAAATATAGATGTAAAAGTATGGAGATGACTGATTTTAAGTATGGTTCACTAAGTGAATTTATCCCTTATTCTAAATTTTGAGCTTTTAAATAAGGTAAAATATAGATGTAAAACTGATTTTATGGATGGTTCACTAAGTGAATTTATTATTCTAAATTTTTGAGCTTTTTTAAAATAGATGGTTCACTGGTTCACTAAGTGAATTTATCCCTTATTCTAAATTTTTGAGCTTTTTAAATAAGGTAAATATAGATGTAAAAGTATGGAGATGACTGATTTTAAGTATGGTTCACTAAGTGAATTTATCCCTTATTCTAAATTTTTGAGCTTTTAAATAAGGTAAATATAGATGTAAAAGTATGGAGATGACTGATTTTAAGTATGGTTCACTAAGTGAATTTATCCCTTATTCTAAATGACTCTTTTTATCTGAACTCTTGAAGTCCGAATGCAGCAGCCTTTTTTAATCAAATCATTTACTCGCATTCCAGACACTAGATCAGTTACATCTGAATAGTGTGTCTGATCCTCTGTAGGTGCCTCATACATTTGGCCTTGTGCCAGATCTAATCTACACTTAGGAAATCACCATTCCAGAGACTGTTCCTAAAAAGTCTTCCAATTTTTCATTTTAGAATTGCACAAAAACTTGGCAAAGTTTTGTTGTCAATATAATCATTGATGTTTCTACTGAAAACTTTTATTAACATGTCATTCATTCCTCCCATCTGCAAGTTATTTGAAATTCAAAAAAAAATATTATGACTAAAAAAAAAAGTAAATCAGTTTGAAAATGTCAACAGATTTAAATTTTTATAATCCTGAATATAATTAACTCTCCCTCCTCAATTCATCTTCATGGAGAAAATCTCATGTTAATGGAAGTTAATATCCTGAATATTTTGTATTAAGTTTAGTTATACGAGATCTAATTTTAGGCTGACTTTTGTATCTAATGCCATAACTTGTCAAAAATTGTTAAAATGATAGTAGGGTAAAACTTTATTTATTTATATTTATTTATATTTATATATATATATATATATATATATATATATATATATTGTTTTTAGGAGAAATTGAAACATTTATTGAATTGTGATATTACTCCATTCAGGGTGAAATAAACTACTTCTCTTCTTAATGAGAGATTTATGATTTGCCTTATAGCAATAAACCATTTTGTGTATGTCTTTAAAAAACAAAACATTTGGTGGGGGCGGATTTAAATCCAATATAGAACTATCTGTGATTAAAACTCTTGCTGCTATAATTTGTTTAAATGTAATGCCACTTTCTGTTTGATAATAAAAACAAAGTTTGTGTCTTATTTTTCTCTAATGTTTTTCTGTATTTTTCTTTTCTTTCTTTCTTTTCTTCTCCAGTCTGTCATCAGTCAATCTGATAAGAAAGCAAAGGATATGAAAAAGAAAAAGAAGCGAAAGAGAGGCAAGCTTGATTTGAAAAAGCATGAAGATGAATGTTTTCGCTGTGGCGAAGGGGGAGAACTGGTGATGTGTGACAAATCACAATGCCCTAAAGTCTACCATCTCCAGTGCCTCAGTCTTACCAAACCACCGCATGGTGAGTGATTTTCATTGTTAGACATTCTCAACACTGAGATCCTAATCCCAAAGATAAGCCCTTCTTTTTACAGAGAAGTTAATTTTATAAGTTTGTTTGTACATGTTTTCTATTATTTATATTTCAACTTGATTGCTATTTATTGAAATTTCCTTCCAACTATTTTGCACGTATACGAGGGTGAATCAGTAAGTTTGTAGCCTCACATAATCACTGTAAATCGGATATTTTCACTATATAAATTTCAACCTATGTGGTTAATATTCACCAGCTGTATTTAGTGCATTCATGGGGAAAAGATTATGCTGAGAAATATTAGTTGAGCAATTTTTTTTTTTTATTTTCTTTTTCCAGTTTTAGGTTACAAACTTATTCATACACTTGTATTTGGTCTGCAAGATCACTTAAACAAAAAACTGATAGTCACCATTCAGTGTTTATTCTTGTGTCTACACCGTTTGTGTGAGTAATGTGAACTCAATTATTTAAAAGAAATATAATTTAGCCAAATGCAGGATAATATTTGATCTTTTTTGTATACATTGCTCAATGTCTTTTCAGGCAGACATATAGGGTCAATATCAGGGTGGGTTGTTTTTTGTTTATGGGGAGGGATCTTGTTAAAAATGTACAAAGAGAGTACACGCATGTTTAAAGTTTTTAAAATAAATGGTGGAACTTTTAGTTATGCACAGGTTTTGTTGATATGTTTTTAATCAAATAGCAAAAACAATATTTATGCTGTGTGTTTGGGAAGCAAGTCTGACCACATGTTTGAAATGCATGCATATATATATATATATATATATATATATATATATATAAGAACAGTAAGATATATAATCCGGTGTTCTTATAGATATTTTTATTTTTACAAAATAGTGCTCAATGTAAATTTACAGAGCATTAATATTATAAATTAATTGATTTAAAAAAATTTTTTTTTTTTCGCTACACAGTTCTAACCATGTTTCAAGAATGGAAGCTGAAAGCTCCGAATTTAATTTTGTAATTAAATTAAAGACATTAGTTCTGTTTCATCCTCAAGTTACATAATTTTTGTTTATTTTCATCAGTTTTTATTTTTATTTTTCCATTGTCTAAATTTTTTGGGTTTTGGTATAAGTGTTACATCAAAATACAGCCATAATGCACACGCAAACACCCCTTGTCTGGTTGAATTGGATTTCTCTGTATCCTTGGAAACGTGAATTATGATTTTTGCTGTGTCTTTAAAACCCAATAATTTTAAAAGTTACTGCAAAATTCGCTTGAGGATGAAATGGAACTAATGTCTTTAATTTAATTACAAAATTAAATTCGGATCTTTCAGCTTCCATTTTTTTGAAACATGGTTAGAACTGTGTAGAAAAATAAAACATTTTATATCAATTATTTATTATATATATATATATATATATATATATATATATATATATATATATATATATATATATATATATATATATATATATAAAGCATGTTTAGTTAAATAATTTAGATATGTCTAATTTAGTTTTAATTCTTTCAAGTCCATGAATTAATTTCTTGATGGCTGTAGAAAATTGGCCACAAAAATATAAAACTTTTCTTTCAAATAATTTTTATTTTCCCAAGTATTTAAATCTCAACTGAGACTTTTTTTTTTTTTTTTTTTTTTTTTTAAAAGTTACCTCCCTTGCATAACTGGAAATGTTTAGATTGATATGCTGGAAATGAACAGTGAACAAATATTTTGAATTCACGGAGCTACTGTATACACATCCACAGATATTTTAACCCTCTGATCAGACGTGATTGAAAGTACTTTGGAAAATTAAAAAAAAATATATTTGAAAGAAAATTTTTGTAATTTTCTTGATTAATTTTCTACCGTTATCAAGTAATTAATTTGTGGACTTAAAAGGATTAAAACTAAATTAAAAAGACATATGTCAAAATTATTTAACCAAACATGCTTGCATGAAAATATGCTGCCTCTGTGTGTGAGGTATTGTAACTATTTACATCATTTGAACTGTTATCCTCATCTTTATTGCCATATTCACAACATTTTGGGCATTGTATGCCCTGGCCTGCTTCAGGTGGCATACGTTGGAATTTTGAATCAAATACTTTTATTTAGTTCACGGGGATAGATTGTTCTTTTCTTTTCTCTCTTTTTTTTTTTTTTTTTTTTTTTTTTTTAAGGCATGGTACGTGGAATTAGAACAATCTATCAAAAAATGTGTTCAGTATGTCACCTATAGAAGGCCAGATCATAGAATGGCCAAAACATTGTAAATATGGCATTTAAGTCTAAACTGTTTAGTCTATATGAGAGTGAATCAGTAAGCTTGTAGCCTCACATCATTTGTCAATGGATGTGCTGATCTTAAATTTTCACTGTATAATGTTTACTCTTTTTTCATCACTGATTTCAGTGCACTGGCATGGAATGTGTGTATAGTGAAAAAAAATAGGCTATGAACTCATTGATTTATACATGTGCATGATTTATAATATATTGTGTATGAGATCAAATGTTTTTGTTCTTTTTGTTTTTTCTTTCTTTCTTTTTTTTTTTTTCTACCTTTTTGTTGATTTCTTCTTTCTCTTTGAATTTTATTGTGTGAAAAATAACATGATATATCCCTGTTAAGTTTTCTCTGTGTGTAGTAGATAATGATTGTTATATTGAAACTGCCAAAATTCAACATTACAAAAATTTGCTTTCCCTTTCCATACAAGTGTATATGTATCGGATTTTGTTTAACATCATTTTAATGATTTGAATTTGTTAAATATTTCAAAGTAATTTATAACATTATACAACTGATCAGTAATAAGGGGAAAACAAAACAAAACAAAAACTTTGCCTCTGAAAGTGGAATGTTTACTTGTATTTTTAGGTCGATGGACCTGTCCCTGGCATCACTGTGACGAATGTGGAAAGCAGTCTGTCAGATTGTGCCATGAATGCCCCAACTCGTTCTGTTCCCAGCACAGTGAAAACAACATTTACACTGTTGATGGACGAGAAGTTTGTTCCGATCATGAGGATCTGCTTCTGGGTGTTGTGACGTCTTACGCTAATGGCCCCACCAAATCGGAAAAGGGTAAAACTCTGGCCAATGGAATGCACCCTTCTACAGAAAAGATGATACTTAGCAACGAAAATGGTAGCCTGAATGAGATGAATTCTGAAAGAACGGTTGAAAATAACAGTACAAAATTTGAAAGTGCTTTGATAGAAAAACCAAAGACAGACAAAACTAAATTGATTACAACAAATGGAGAAAATAAAAGCAAGTTGTTAGGTAAACGAGGAAGGAGGATGAGGGACGATAAGCGGCAAGCAAAACTCCTCAGTTGTAGAGACATTACAGGTGAGGATGGAATTGGCTTTAACTCCAATGCCATTGGACCAGTAGATGGCAAAAAGATGGACAATGATTCACTGGCAATTCCACCGATGTTTGATGACAGTGATGAAGAATTTCCTGATTTAGTTATAGACTTACCTCAACTGTAGAGATGAACCAATAACACTGCCCTCCTTTCAAAATTATTTTTTTATTTTTTTTTTTTCTCCCTGCTTTCTTCTTGTTTATACATGCCATTTTTCGTTTTCATTTGAAAGAAGAAAAAAATAATAATAATAAAAGGCTCTAAAGAAAAACAATTATACAATAAAGTATTGATCATGCTTTTAGGAAACTAATATAAAAAGTTTACATCTCAAAATAGTTTCTATCGGGTTTTTTTTAACATCTAAAGATTTTAACAATCAAACAATCTTTATAATAAAATTTAGAAAGATAAAAAAAAAAAAGGAGGAGGAGGAGGCTGGTGCATCTTACAAAACTGCCAACACTTCCCATTCTAATGGCAGTAATTTTGTACAAATCATTTTTTACTTCACCTCCCCTCGTTTCAGTTTTTTTTATTTTTTTGACAGCAAAAAAAAATCATCTAGAAGGCGTGGGGGAGGAATAAAACCTGATAATTTTGAATAATTAGATAGGTGGGGATGGGATAGATAAATTTAATTTGCTTATTTTTATATTGTAAGACATTGTAATAATGGGACGTGGGAGCACGGCTTAGGTTTTTAAATTTGGTGTGAATAAAACTGCAGTGAAATTAACAGCACTGATTGTACAAAACAAACAACATTTGGAAGTCTCTTGTGCCTCATCACAAATTGCTATTACTACTACTACTACTACTACTGTATAATAGAAAGATTCAGCTTTTGATTTTATTCCCAAAGAATTCTCTTCAAGAATTTCAGGAGTAAAATAACTAGAAAGTGGTGATAAAAAAAGGTTTGGGGGCTAACAGTCTATTCCCCCCCACCCTTCATCTTTTTTTTTTCTTTTTTTTTAAACCATCTTTGATCTAAATTTTAAATAATTTCTATGACCAACATCAATTTTACATATTTGGCTGGATGGTGCAAGTGCTAAACTCATTTTACACCCCCTTGGGCATCAATTACATCACCTTCATACTGAGCAAGCTTTTCACCTGGCAAAATTCCTCCTCCTCTCTTTCCCCTTCCTTCCTTGAGGTTTTCTCTTATTTTAAAATACTCTTTTACATTTTCCTTTGTGGTTTTTTTTTTTTTTTTTTTTTTTTTCATATGCATTGGAATTTTTCTTTGTTTTCCAAAATAAAGTAATATTTCTTTGTTGTTATCTAACTTTGTTTCCAGGCTAAAAAAAAAAAATATTTTTCTTGATACTTATCAGGTGTTTGAAAAACATATTTACTGTGGAACTTGATTCCATTTTTATGCTGTAAATGCTTATTTTGGGATACGAAAAACCACCCTTCTCTCTTTCTATTTATATATATATATATATATATATATATATATATATAAAAAACTACTGCCCACTGTCAGTATCCTTAATCTTGTCTGTGTTATCATCCATGTTTCTAAATGCTAACTGTATATGATTATCTTAATTTTCATCTTAATTAAATCCTGATTGCTTTTTCTAAATTTGGGTTTTGCACTTGCAATACAAAAAATCAAAACCATCAGCAGCCCAGATTGGAATGGCTTCATCAACATATTTTGGGCATTTACAACCAATTCATCATTATTTTCTCTCTCACCCCCTCTCTCTTTGTTTTTGTATGTCTGATCTGTTTTACTCCCATTTTTTTAAACAATTATTTAAGTTTTCATTTGGATAAATGGCAGATACCGTTTTGTCAATAAGCTAGCATTTCTTCTTTTCGCTCCTTTTGGACAATTTTGGATCATCAGGCATCAGATGAGAATTGTTTCCGCTTCTTCAAGATTAAAATTGGTCAGTTGGTGTTTTTCTGGTTGGCCTCATGTCTCAATACGGATTCCTTATAACAGAAAAGGCCGTTTTTAAGATTGTGCCTTACTGCTAAAAAGAAAAAAAAAAAAGAAAAAAATTTTTTTCTCCGTCACCCCCAATTTTATCATATAGGCTTTTTGATTTGGTAGCAAATGGTTTTGAATGAAAGCAACATTTAAATGGCTAGAAAAATCAACTTAGAGATTATTAGATGAATGATGAATCTAACTTCAAACTGCTTGCCACACTTTCTTATACAATCGATTGTTTAATTGTGCTCAAAAGTGTTCTAATTGTTGTGTCTGGTGTTGAAACTTCTTGATAAATCCTAAATGCTTCTTTTTATTGGTCACTCATCTTTGTTGTCTCTGTACGTCACAACATCTAAGTAATCTCTGACCATCCGCCCCCCCCCTTTTAATGGTTTGTCTATGTTGGTTATTTATTAATTGCATACTACACATGGGAAAAAACAGGATCATATATGTATAGAATGGCACTTACATCTAAGATCAGTGTAGCATCTGGGCCCTCTGCCTGGAATGGAAGGGTCACTTTGGCCTTCTGCCTCAGATCAGCATAACATCTATGCACTCTGCCTGGAATCAAAGTGTGGCCTTTTACCTCAGATGAGCATAGCATCTGTGCACTCTGCCTGGTATGAAAGTGCTACTCTGTGGCCATCTGCCTAAGATCAGCATTGCATTTGTGCACTCTGCTTGGAATGAAAGTGTGGCCTTCTGCCTAAGGCCTGTGTAGTACCTGTGCACACTGCCTAATTCAGTATATGCAATTTTACTATGCTGTTCAGGTAACAGAATGTGCTCGTGTAGTAGATATGTCATTGTCTGCTTATTCTCTGAGTAAGTGCTTCAAATCTGGGCAGGAGTCACCTGTTAATTTTTATATATCTGCTTAAGCATGGCAGGAAAAAGAAACAAATTACATTGCTTATTATTTTATACAATTGCTTTCTGACAACATTGAAAAGCCTAAGAATTAAATTCAAATATCTTTTCATTTTTAAATAATTTTGTAAACATACCAACAACTGAAAGAAGAACTTCACAGGAACAAAAAGGATGCCAAATGAAGACTTGTCTGAATTTCTCAGATAAGGAGTTATCATGTCTCCTCATTATATATCAATTACATACAGACTAATAATGTCCTCATCTCACAACATTTCGACCATTGTGCCCTTTAGCCTTCTTCAGGTGTTTGTCAATCCTGGTAACTTTCAGGCAATATCAAACTGAACTTTTTATTTGATCTTCTTGTTCCATTGTCTATGTTCAGTTATTGCTTGCCTTGTTTCCATTGTGTCTAAGTCTCTGCTGCCCGACCCAAGAATTGAACTCACAATTACTGTCACAAAATCGATGAGCCAATGCTGAACCTAGAATTTGGAGCCTTAGCCATAATAAATTAGATTAAATAAAGGGTTTTATTTAAAAATATCTTGAAGGTTAGTTGCATCACCTGAAAAAGCAGGAGGACACAATGACCAAAACATTGTGATAACAACAATAAAGATGAGGATATTAGTTAACAAAGATTTGTCTATTTGGAATGAAGTTCATAGATGATTGAAATGTTTGTTTTTTGTTAAATTATGCTTTACATTGTCAATACAGTTTATTTTGAACTTTTAACATCAATGCCTTTGCCTGGTCAAAAAGAGACATGAATTTAGCAAAAGAAATACTGAAAAAAAACTGCAGATTTTGTTGTCTTCTAATAGAGAAACTTATGAGTAAACAAAGCAGGAGGGAGCTTTTAAACATTCTATCGTAAAATGGACTGAAAGGAAGCATGAGAATTCTTGTCTTCTGACATTTTTTTTTTTTTTTTGCTTTTATCACTAATTATAGAACAGTTTTTATGCTATCAGTTTTAAATAGAATGCATTCACAATATGAGCATAATTTAAAAAAAAAAAAAATACTCCTTATGTTAATGCAACAAGCCAATGAGTAAAAGACTGGCAGGGATTTCCCCAATCTCATTTCAGCCAAATTCCATTCTCTATGCACTCTTTCTATCACTCTCTCTCTCTCTCTCTCTCTCATTATATATTTGAAGTTTAAAAACTTCTCAGGCTGTGTTGGTTGGAGAATTGGTGGCTGAAAGGAAGAATAAGGTTTATTAGAATTTTCTTTTCAAGGGCATCCTTAAACAACTAAAATTCAGTTAAAAATTAAATTCGAGTAAGCATGAGAATTTTTTTTCTTTCAAAGGACGTCAAGTGACCCGCATAGTTTCTTTGATATATTGAACACATATTTTCTTTCATGAAAGCATTTCTGTGTCCAACTGATTTTTTTTTTTTTTTTCTCTCTCTCTCTCTCTCTCATTTCATCTGTTCACGTTTGTCACTTATTCTCTGTAATTCCATTTGTGCACTCGGAAAAGCAATGATAGGAAATGTTTTTTGCTATTTCTAATAAAGTACGTTTGGTTCACTCGTGAATTCATAATGATCAAAGATATTTTTTTTTATATTCTCAACAATCTGGAGACAATTTGAATGTTAAGAAAGATTTTCATCAACACTATGCAGAAAAAGCTTTAAAATTTTATTCTAATACTGCCACACTTTTTCATAACAAATGCAAATTTTGAAACAATTCTCCAAATTTAGCGGTGAACGAGTTGGATTTTTTTTTTTTTTTTTTTTTTGTGGTCTTAGTTTTTGTAGTAGTTTTCTTTGTCTGTTTCTAAGTAGTCTTTTTGAAAAAAAAGATAAATAAATAAAAATAAAAAAAACTTGGCAACTTATCCTCTAACTTGAAGTTTTGCAGACAGTTCAAAGATAAATTTAATTGAATTTACTATGAAACTTTAAGTTGTGGAATAAGTCATTGAACTTTTCAATTAACAATTCTCTATTGATGCTTCAGTTTTTTTTTGTTTTTGTTTTTTTAATTGAGCACTTTCTTCACAAAAAATCTGTTTGCCTTAAACATGTACTCCAATAATTTACTGGTCAACATGTTTTGTTAGGCATAAACAATATTTGTTGTTAAGCTGTCTTTTATGTAAATTGTAACAGTTCCTAAGATTTAATATTATTATAATTTCTTATTATTATGTCTAAATCTGCCCCAGCAGCTGATTCCTGAACATTTTGGATAAATGCCACTATTTCAGAATTGCCTGCGTAACAGAACAAATCTACAGTAAATAGCTAGTAAACGGTTGTACATATGAACAGCTTTATTTTACTTACATGGTGAACCAAGACCTAACCACTAACTGATGCACTATCCTTATATATATATTTGCATCAGTGTCACTAATTCAGAACTGCCAATGATACAAGAAAACATCAGTAAATAATACTTAGCCTCTGTAATTTTCTTCAATGATTAGACACTGGAGCATTTTTGTTCTTAAACAACCAGGCTACAGGTTCAATTAAATTAATTTTGACTTGGATATTTTTTTGGTTCAGCAACAAAAAATGCCTTTTTTGTTGCTTAAAAAAAAAAAAAACTAAAATAAATAAACTCATAGTATGTGGTAGCATTTGATCTTAAGAGAAATTTTAAAACTGAATTTTAGATTGTTAGATGTGCATTCAAACCTTTTGAAATTTTCTATCACCACCCCCTACCCAAATGCTAAAGAAATTACTTCAATCTGTTTGTGAGAGTTAAGTAACATTTTTGCAGTATTAACTCTTAGATTTTATGAAAGCAAATATGAGGCAAACATCACAATTGACCATTTCTTTTCTATTTGCTCATATTAACATATTTTTTTTTCTTTCCTTTCTTCTCTTTCCAACTTGAAGCACATGACTATTTTTGTGCAAATTATGACCAGAAAAGAGGAGGAAAAAGATTTTAAAATCATCAGGATGCAAAAATAAGTGGAGAGATATTTTTTTGTTTGTTTTTTTTTTTTTTTTAACATCTTTAAAAAAAGATTGTTTTTCATTTAATTTTATTATTTTTTATATGAATGTGTGTATGTCTTTGAAATAGTCTGTGAGTGTCTGTACATTTAAGATTTATTTTATCATTTGTCGCCTCAGAAATCATGGAAGAAAATTTCATTCAGCTATTTTTCTATTTTTTTTATATCCCCATTACAAAAAAAAAAAAATGATCACTTGTTTTCGTAGGTAACAACTGAACTATGCATATAATAAAAGAAAAATGAAATCATTGTTTAAAATGCTCTTCCTGTGTTTTCTTAAATGCCAACTTCTGATTCCAGTGCCACGTGAAATGATTTATAATGTTCCATCATCTTTTGTCAGATGATGATTTTTTTTTATATTTTTTTAAAATGGTTTTTAATCAGTAGTTTCCATTTGGTTTTGAGAGCTAGAGATCATCTCTTTAAATGTTGAGGTAAAAAAACAAATATTGAAACAAAAAAAAAAAGAAACAATTTACAAAATGTATTACACTGATCACTTTTTCTTTTTTTATACTTCAGCACTTATCTGCATACTCTAATGACTTGTATAAGTGAACAATACATTTACCGAAAGAGAAATTGACATTTCTCAAGTGTATGTGTGTATACACATGCATGCATATATATAGGTGCCTCCATAGATTAGCTGAAAAATGAGCATGCCTTGATGAAAAAATGCCCCAAACTTAATAAAAACAGTTTTATTGTCAAAATCTTAATTGAGAGGAAAGACCAAAGGATTTTGTGGTTATTAAATTTTTTTTTTGGTCTTTCTTGGGACGTTTGAAATTTGGTTAAAATCGAGGACCAGAGATTAGTAGATATTTTTGCAATGTAAAACCTTGATTTTGGAAATTCTTGCAAAAATCAAATAATTGTTGGATTTTAATGAAACTTTCAGGGCTTATTCATGAATGAATTAAATTATTTTAGAAATGTTTCTCTTTAGAAAATCTTGGTAAAAACTCTTTTTTTCTTTTTTTTTCTTCTCTTTCACTCCAAACCACCCCCATTTCATGTTGAAATTTTGAAAAATTAATTTTGTACCACTTAATGTTTATTTATATTTAATTAGAAAAGCTTTTAATTGCTTTTATGAATAAGATATATTATGGACACTATTGTCTTTAAAAAAAAATTTTTCTCCAATGAATAATGAATTTTTTTTTTTTTTTTTTTTTTTTCAAGTTATAATAAGAACAATATATAAAGTTTTAAATCTTTTAAATTTCCATATTAATTTGTATCGGTTTAGTGTTATTATTAAGTAAGAACTATAATTACTAATAATAAATGGGTAATCTTACAATTCAGCAATACCTAATTTTTTTATTTTTTTTTGAATTGCGTGCGTGTGTGTGTGTGTGTGTGTGTGTGTAAAGGTGCTGATTTTTGTAAATATGGATGTCCATTCACAACATTATTAGAAAATAAGAGTGATAACTATAGTAAATTTAAAGCCAAAGTACCTAATATTCAATAAAACATTATTGAAAATACTAGTAGTACCTGTCAGTCAACCTTAAATAAATACCTGCCACCATGTTAAAAAAATGAATTCCTGCACTATTTTCATAACGGATCTGGAGGTTTTTGTGTACTATTTGAATTGTTTGCGAGATGGATGTCTCGCCATTTAAATCATTAACCATTGCATTAGTTTTGTGTGAATAATTCATGTATTTGTAAATTGATTGCACGTTTATTGTAATATATATATATATATATATATATATATATATAGGAATGACAAAAATGCTGGAAAAAATATTTAGAGAATGAAAAAAATTTTTTTTCCCCTGATTTGTCATTCAATTACCTTACACACACGTCTGTCTGTGTGTGTGGTGGACTATCCCATCATATTCAGTGAGTGTCAAGCATCTCAGTTCTTATGAACCAACAGCAAATGAGATTTGATTATAGTGGTGATTTTTGTGCAGAACCAGCTACACTTTTTGAAGGGCTGAATTCAGACCTCATGCACTACGTGCTACAAGGTCCTCAGACAACCCTCTGCAAGTTTTGAATTCAGAGTTGTCCTTCTCCTAGACCAGTTGCCATCCAAGGCTATAGAACCCTGTCTATCCTGCTATTTACACATAGCCCAAGGGAAAAGAGGATTAGCACATGAGTGAATGTAATAGATTTGGCTGGAATTCGAACTCAGCTCTCCAGTTCCTCAATCCAAGCCACTATCCACTATATATATATATATATATATAATAGCAATACTTTTTTTTTTCTTCTTCTTCTTCAAAGCCTACAACACTGGAACCTTCCTTAGCTTTCAAAGAAGAAAAGCAGTAAGTACACAAAGTGAATAATAAAAAAAAAAAGCAAGTAAACCTACAAAATATTTTTTTGTACATCATATCTGATGAAACCTGCATAACTGAACACTGCATGTTCTGATGAGGATTTTTTTTTTTTTTTTAGGCAATAACTGTTGATTTCTATGTTCATATTAATTACCATATTTGACGGCATATAAGACATTCGAATTTTAGCAGAGAAAATTATTAATAAAATTATTAGTAAATGGTACAACCTAGGCTATATTTATGAAGTATTATTTTGATTAAACAAGCCATAATTACAATTAATAAAAAAAAAAAAAAATATGAGCCTATAAAAAATTTATTATATCCAAAGGTAAGAAAACAAAAAAAATCAAGCAATTATTATAATTGAGGAAAACTACAGTTACCATTAAAATGTTATTCATCTTCAAATCCATAAAATTTGTCATCTTCGTTTTCAAAACTGATACTAATTTTCAATACTACTATCATGGAATAATTAGGATATAAGAATTCTGATTATATTTATACCAATGCAACCGGAAGTTATCACGAAAAATATTAATGAAACAAATATATAATTAAGATTTATTGCATATAATTTTAGTGAAACAAAGTACTGATATTAAACATGATGAAATTAATATAATGTATATTATCAATGATAAAAATTTTAATCTGCATAATAGGCTTTTAAATAATGACAATAGGTATATAAAAGTTTCTCTAAAGTCTAAGCGAATAGGAGTTGCTAGGTAGCAAATTTTGGCCAACTATAACAATTTTTAAACCTACATATGGCATACAAGATGCAGGGGAATTTTAAAAGATATTTTTAGTCTAAAAAGTGTGCCTTATATGCCGTTAAATACAGTATCTCCAAGCACTCTATCT